TAGGTCAGCACCTATAACGTTGGCCAGAAGACTGCACCCCAACCAGAGAATTAATTTGTTGCAGATGTGGATACGAGGGCTCTCAGCAATAGCAGAGTGTTGTAGTACTTCTGGCCAGCAGGCTGACTGGATAAATTGTGAGCAAGTATCTTGGACTGGTATAAACAACATTGAAGCTCCTAGCTCTTTGAAACCTCACATTCTCCCAGCAAGCACCACCTCAGCCTTAGTAGGGGACTCAGTAAGCAAAGCAGTCTGGTGAGAGATCCAGCCAGGTGAATGAAGAGTGAAGGGCCACCCTCTACCTAACATCCTTTCACTTCTTTGCTTTAGTTCTATGGTTTGACTGAACCCAGATTGTGAAAGGTCTAGGACAGCTTTTCTCAATGACCTATCCATGGAGCAGCACCCTGACAAGCCGGTCTCTGGTCTCAAAAAGGTTGAGAAACACTGCTCTAGGATATTTGCATGGACTAGATTTTCTGTACAAGCTCAGTAAGATGACAGGTCTCTCAAATGAGTGCCCTATTCACTGCACTGGGGGATATTCTGATGAGAGACTCACTCACTCTTGTTGAAGCTATTCCACTTTAATAATCAATTGGGCCAAAACCAGAGTCATTCTATAGTTTAGAGCACTCACCTGAGAGGTAGGTGATCCTTGTTCAAATCCCTTTGCATCAGGCAGAGAAGGGAATTGAACTGGGGTCTCCTACATCTGGGAGGAGTTCCCTGGTTACATGGAGTCTTCTTCCTCCTGATTTACTCCTTGCAACACACAGGTCCCTTTATGGATCCAAGAAGGGCCAAGAAGCCAATGCCAAGAAGGCCAATGGCATTTTGGGATGTATAAGTAGGGGCATAGCGAGCAGATCGAGGGACATGATCGTTCCCCTCTATTCGACATTGGTGAGGCCTCATCTGGAGTACTGTGTCCAGTTTTGGGCCCCACACTTCAAGAAGGATGTGGATAAATTGGAGAGAGTCCAGCGAAGGGCAACAAAAATGATTAGGGGTCTAGAACACATGACTTATGAGGAGAGGCTGAGGGAGCTGGGATTGTTTAGCCTGCAGAAGAGAAGAATGAGGGGGGATTTGATAGCTGCTTTCAACTACCTGAAAGGGGGTTCCAAAGAGGATGGCTCTAGACTGTTCTCAATGGTAGCAGATGACAGAACGAGGAGTAATGGTCTCAAGTTGCAGTGGGGGAGGTTTAGATTGGATATTAGGAAAAACTTTTTCACTAAGAGGGTGGTGAAACACTGGAATGCGTTACCTAGGGAGGTGGTAGAATCTCCTTCCTTAGAGGTTTTTAAGGTCAGGCTTGACAAAGCCCTGGCTGGGATGATTTAACTGGGAATTGGTCCTGCTTTGAGCAGGGGGTTGGACTAGATGACCTTCTGGGGTCCCTTCCAACCCTTATATTCTATGATTCTATGATCCAAGCTGCCATGACTGGCTCACAGCAGAAATCTGATGAAGTGCCCAGTTAAAACCACTCCTATCATCTACTCCTTTAGCAATTTTATGTGAGGCTGGCACCTGTCTTTGGCTACATGGGCAGTTCGTGGTTGTGTAACTGAAAATAGCTTATTACTGGCTGGAGGAAGTAAGCACTGGACCCATTTCTGTAGAGAACTTGGCTTTTATTTAAATAAAATATTGTTCCTTCTCAAGAGGAGATGGAACTCAAGTATGTATTACAAGAGAAAAACAGAGATGCGAGAATAATCTGCTTGCATAACTGAACATCTTTACAGAGCCAGTCACAACTTAAATTGTTTTAAATGTGTAGTCCTGCAGCAGCTGAACACCAGATCTTTGGTGATTGTCAGACAGTGACTTCCTCCATCTGGGATCCTCATGTAGGCGTTATCACAGCTGTAGCAACGGGAGGGCAGCACAGCTCCTACAATGTTTGCTGTGTATGTGTTGGTCCAGCAGAAGCGAAAAACAAAGTTGTGCTGTTTCATACAAGCACTCATTCATGTTTTAACTGGTATATCAACAGAACTGGTGAATTTTTAACAATTTTAAACTTATTTCAAATTTTTCCAACTTTCCTTTGTCAGACTTAAGTTTAGCTCAAATAGCAGGGTTAAATTCTTCTTTAAAGACTACACAGAACTGGGTTATTATTAAAGGATGAGCTCCTCACAGTAAGTACCTTCTCCACGTGTAAAAGGGGAAGGTGTTCAGGAGCAAGACCTCAAGAACAGAGACCAAAACTACTACTACTAGGAAAAACAATTAGATTGGGATGACGCTTCCTTTAAATTTCCATAGGCCCGATCCACCTTACCTTGGGAAAACAGTTTGCCAGCAACTCAATCCAAACCTTCCCCCAGTGTCACACTTGGGACACAGTTAAGCTTTCTTAGCAGTTTCTTTTCTTTCAGATATTTTTATAAAACCTTGTCAGGCTCTCAGTATTTTTTAAAACAAAAATAAGCACTTACGGTATTAAGTTATGTTACAGAAGCACAGTACAGTCCTTTGAATTTGACTGATCCTGGGCAGAAGAGTCAGTCCTGTGGAGAGCTGATCCTTGTACAGTAGTATGGCCTACTGGGTCTCTCAGTCACTTTGGAAAGAGAAGGCACGATCAGAATGAAAGGATCCAGCTAAGACAACCTCAATCCCCCCCTTATACAAAATCCTCATGTGTGCAGCATTCTAAACCATTATGGCACCGCTCTAACATATTATGTACAACCTAAATGCAACAGGCCTGAGGCCTATTAAATTCAAACTCAGACCTAGGTAGCAAAAACAAAGTTATTCAACACTTTTCTGCAGATTCTCCTGCACAGCTTTCTCTGTGAGAATCTTGGAAATTCCATTTTGCATCGCAGAACAAACCCAGTATTAAAGACCAGTCATTGATATCAATGGCTTTTCAGAATCTGGAGAGAGTGTGCCAAGTGCCCCATGCAATGGGGAAGACGTGACCTTTCCACTATAGCTGGAAGTCTCATCAGGGTGTCCACCTACTTCTGAGAATTAAAGCCAGGAGGTATGGGCCTCAGAGGAACAACATGGAGCTTTGCTGGACACCGGAAAACAAGAGGACACAACAAGATTGATTTACAGTATTTATATCCCTAGGAAGAGGGCCCGTCTCTCCAGGAAGCTCAGTTATCCACCTCTTCATCATCATTTTGTTCCTCCTCCTCCATCCGTTCATCATCCTCATCATTCTCCTCCTCTCTGCTCTTGTCTTGTTCCTCAGAGTCTGCCTTCTTGTCTTTGTCTTTCCTTGCTTCTTTCTTTCCTTTTTGCTCACGCCTGTAAACTAACAGACCAAGAGAACTACAATTGGATACACATATGTCATTATATCCATTGTAGGGACAATCTACAGGTGGCTCCCATCTCTGTGACCCAGGGTCTCCCCTTGCTCTCCAGGCTTACAACAAATGGAGCACTGAACCTCTTGATAGCTGCTACCCATCCTGTTATTTGAGTTGTGGTGATAGACTTTACAGGAAGTTATGTTAAGTGTTGTTCAACAGAAAGATGGCGAGAAGGATACAGGAGCTCATATTCATTACGCAGAACACGTGACTTCCTCTACACAGAAGTGATGGGGGAGACAGATTAAATGAGTCACCTTTGTGAAATTACATCATATCAGTTCTATTAAACTACATGTTCATATGTCCCCATAAAAACTGCAATGGGAATGTCTGGCTTTAAAATAAATAAATAGATGATTCAGGGAACATAAGAGTTGGATGCCCAACTTCTGGGTAAATGGGACTCAGTGTCATTAGGACTAATTTAATCTACAGTTAGAGAACATGTTACCTTCCAATGATTCCTTTAAAGGGGCTATGAATCTCTGGAACTCCATTTCCTCCATGGCTGAGAGGACATCTCCAGCATTCAGTGTTTTCCTCTTCCCCTTCACTGCAAAGTTATTTGCACTAAAGAGGGAGAAGAATGAATATCAAAGAGTAAATCAACCCCAACTACTGGCTGTTTAAAAGGACAGAGCCAACTTAAAAAACAATCACAGCTCTCAGAAATGTTTAATCACTATTATAAGCAATACCTAGGATGACTGACCAAGAATCTAATTATAACAGATTAAAGAAAAAACACCTTTGTTTACATTGTGCATTTATGTGTATATAGTCAGTTTCATTGTTTCCCTGTATAGTCAGGGAGTTTTCCATTTATGTGGGTTTTTCCACACATGTAACAAGAAAGAAAATACATATTTAAATGTGGTTGTAAAACTATTAAGTGGCAGGGCGATTCAAGGACACTGACAAATATGTAGTTACTACAAGTTTAGTTTAATTCATTTTTAAAAAGTTGACTAATATTCAATTTAACGGTATACCTTTTAATTTTATTATTACGTTTTAAAGATGTTTGAATTTCAACTGTTATAGATTTAAACAGAGAATTTAGATGCAGGAGGAAGCTAAACCCTTTAAACCTGAATGAGTAATTTAACATACACTATGAAACATGCCTAGTTAGTTCCTACACTACTTAGGTTAACACTCAGAAGGAAAGTCATAAAGCTACAATGGGTTCACATAACCCAAGAACAAGGAGCCCTTATGTAAATTAATGTTTGCTCTAAAAAGGCTCTATAATTTTGTGATCAGTGTTTTCTGAAAAATGATAAAGTGTAGTGATAAAGGTAAATCAAATGTGACAGTTCAGGACACGAGGTGATCACTTAAGGCGACAGGAAGTAATCCACCATCACCTCTGTAGGCCCCCAGGATGTATATATTGGGCAAGTAACTGAGGGCATTATGAGGCAGCAAATACTGGCTACTGAAAGAGAAGCAAAGCATTTGCCCTGTTGATTTATCACTTGCCCCTCTTAGAAAGTTCGCATGGCAGCATGCTACTTAATCAAGAAACTAATTTTGAACATAAGATTATCTTACACAAAGGTCACATTACAAACTAAAACCAGATGAAGCTTTATAATGCCTCATGTACATGAATGATAAACATGCCTTTCATTACAGCTACTGCAAAAATTCTCTCCAAGAGAACCAACAAAAAGGCTAGCTACAGATCAAATGGTCCATTGGATCAGGTCACCAGTGATGCTTACCATGATGTTGCATACAACACAAACACACTTGCAGCTCGAGATATTGCACTACGAGCTTCCTTGGAAATGTTTACTCCATCAGGAAGCTGGGGAAAAAGAAATGTCATTTTATCAGATGAAATTCAAGTCATATGGATCTGGAGGCTAACAAGTCCTGTCCAGTTCAGTCAAGCCATTCAGAGTGTTTGCAGTGAACAATAAATGTGAGAAAATGAATTTTCTATAGTATTTTAATTAATCCTAATGTGTGCCTCAGTTTCTCTCTTCACTTTGCCCTGTTACCCAGTGGAGGGAAAAGTATTAAGTTGGGGCAGTGCAGAAGATCAGATGTGGGAGTCACCTTCTTTGGGCTACAGTGAATAGGGTCATAAGGAACTGTCTGGACCCTGCTGAAGGCGATTCTGTAACAATGCAGAATCCCAAAGAGACGATGGAAAAGCCCCAATGACCAAAACAATGACACCTAGGAAACAGCAACAAAGAGAAAGAGGTTTCCCCTGCACCTCTCAGCAGGGAAGCTGAGCAGAGACCCCAGATCTAGAACAAAGGACTGACACATGACCAGCAGAGAATAAGGGTGGACTTCTGGTTCTGAAAGAGGCTGGCCGCTCTCTCTTGGGTATCACTAAGGAGTTAGAGGGAGACAGGACTTGAAATGCTGTTCACTGCACTTTGGCTGGTGAATTACTCTGGTTTGATCAGAATGGACTATGCTTTAACCTTTTACTCGGTTTTGGAAATGCTGCCTGTGTGTTAATGCAAATACTGGGTGAGATGCATTAGTTCCTGAAGACTGTACAAGTCTCTAACCAGGAGTCTGTGTCAGCTGGACTTGCTAGGCAGAGCTCACGGTGTGAAGCAAGGGTGCTGGAGCAGACACTCAGACTAGGAGGTGGTGAGGCTGCATGACTTACCCTGAAGGACAAGCGAGACACCTTGGAGTCTGACACATTAAAGGGGTTCCCTCAAGAGCCTGTTTAAAAGCTGGAGCACAGCACAGACCCATGACATAAGGCTAGAAGAATGCTGCTGCATAGATAATTGTCCTAACCCATTGCTCTGACTATATCACCCAACTCTTTGCATCCTTCGACTGGCTCCCCCTTCCCTAGTGTTTCAATCATAAGATACTTATCTTCACTTTAAAGGCCGTTAACAATCCCAACCCTACCCATCATTTCTTATTCACTGCTGAGATGCTAACTCTCACCTCTGGTCGGCCCATGATACCAGCCTCCAATATACACTTCTCCCTACTGCCCCTCATGCCTGGGAGGAGCTCCCTGCTAAATATCTGCAAAGCCACTTCATTATCCTCCTACAACCCCTCCTCAAAACTCTTCTTTGCTAGGATGCCTACAAAAACCCTAACAATGAGTGAACCTGTTACGATGCCCAATATTATCCTATTGTTTCCTTGTACTCCTCCATCTGCCTATATCCACCTGTTACCTCTTGTCTCAGGTTGTGAACTCTTTGGGACAAGGACCTTCTTTTTATTCTGTGTTTGTACAGCAACTAGCACAATGGGATCCTGGCCCATGACTTGGGCTCCTAGGCACTACAAATTAATAATAATAATAATAAAAATTCCAGATACATCTAACATCTAAGTACAACAAGAAGCTGGTTAACTGTGAATGGGCTTAGCCAGGTCAAGAACATAGACAGAAGGAAAGTAACTTTTGTAGTAGCAGTGGACTTGGCCTCTGCCTCAATCTTAGTCCATTTAATCCAGAGGTCGGCAAACTACGGGCTGCAGGCCACATCCAGCCTGCGGGACCCTCCTGCTCAGCCCCGAGCTCCTGGCCCAGGAGGCTAGTCCCCGGCCCCTCCCCTGCTGTTCCCCCTCCCCCGCAGCCTCAGCATGCCAAGTCGCTGGCATAACACTCTGGGCGACCGGGCAGCGCAGTTGCAGAGTTGTGGCCTGACCCAGGGCTCTGGGCGGTGCGACTGTGGTGCCCCCAGCTGCCGGTGCTCCAGGCAGCGAGCTAAGGGGGCAGGGGGCATCGGATAGAGGGCAGGGGAGTTGGGGGAGGTGGTCAGGGGTGTGGATAGGGGTCGGAGCGGTCAGAGGGCGGGGAACAGAGGGGTTGGATGGGGCTGGGGTCCCGGGGGGGCAAGTCAGGAATGAGAGGGGGGGTTGGATGGGGACAGTCAGGGGAGGTGGGTCTGGGGGTGGTTAGGGAGCAGGGGGTGGTGGATGGGGTAGGAGTCCTGGGGGGACCTTCAGGGGACAGGGGATTGGATGGGGCAGGAGTCCCGGGGTAGCTGTCAGGGGGCGAGAAGCAGAGGGGTCGGATAGGCTGTGGGGGTCGGGCCACGCTTGGCTGTTTTGGGGGAGACAGCTTCCCCTAACCAGCCCTCCATACAATTTTGGAAACCCGATGTGGCCCTCAGGCCAAAAAGTGTGCCCAGCCCCGATTTAATTGTTGCCAAATTCTTAACCTAGAAGGATATTCTCATAACGTGCAGCATCCATCCATTAATCCTTCTTGGTCTTTTGGCTAAGATCATGCCTAGCATCAATTTAATGACTGAGACATATTGTATCTCATTTGCTGGCAAGGAACTGGACTTCATCTAGTAGCTACTTTCCTTCTGTACTCTGCTCTTATTTTGGGAGCTGGTTCAGGGATATATAATTTACAGAGCACTGACAATATTGTAAGAAATTTACAACTATCTATCTTAGGGTTTTCTATGGTTTCCCATTACCTCAGTATGTGGCTATGCAGAATCCAAATGTTTTCCAGCAGCGTGAATTATTTCAGATTCATGGTAAATGGGGCAATGGATGAAATATTAGATACTGGGGAAAGGGGGAAAAAAGAAAGGGGGGAGGAAAGCACTTTCTGCAGCATGGGGGATAAGTATGGAAAAATCCTTTTGTCCAGTACAATTTCTCTGTCAGAAAACAGTGTCTCTTCCATTTCAATAGAAAGTCAACCTTTTCTTTTGACAGCTCAGATAAAGTTTGCTTGGCATTAAATAGAACACATATCTTTAATTTAAATACAAAAAGATTTTATGGCAGATTATTTAAAAAAGTAGAACCACTGCAACCCAACAAGTGACATATCTCACACACCAGATAAAGCGGAAAACGAAATGCAAGATTTTGCACTTGAAATAGTTGGAAACAACCCAGAATTTGCTGCTTTGAGCCCCTTATTAAACTACAACTTTAAAAAATCAATCATATTTCCACCTGAAAATGTTTTACCTACAACTCTAAAAAATAATACATAAAAGAAAGATTACAGAAAATTATTTCTCTATTTTTCCCAATCTACCATGAGCATTTGACAGTACTAGGCATAAAGAATTTCATTTTACCATGAATAGTCAGATTTCCCTGTTTGAGTAGGTCTCCCTCAAACCAACAAGGGGCAGAAATAATGCTAAAAAGAAAAGGTGACTGTAAAACCACAAAAATTGTCAGGGCTTTTTTTACTAAATGATTAGATTTCAAGTTGACAACTTTCCTGTTAAACTGTTTTATCATCTACAACACAAAAGGAGATTAAAAAATTACACAGCATACGGCCCATTTTCTGTACAACAGGCACATTTTACTCCTTTGAGGTTTTCAGTCTTCACTTCAATCTTCTTGCACTTTTTTATATCTCTGCTAATACTCACTGCTTCTTTAATTATTCGAGTGATGACAGCATTGGGCAAGTTCAAGTCCTCTGGTCTTTCCGCCATCTCTGAATACCTAGAACTGAAATGAGGACTATTCATCAGATATTTTTTCTGCTGAGCAGCTCTGCTTATAAAACACTTGTCTCACTATTACAGTAGTTATAGGTAGTTCTGCTATGTAAAGTGACCATATAAAAACGGCACCATCTCACTCAGCAGCTCTGCCCCTGTGTTTAGCCTGGCGTCTGCCTATCAACGAGAAAATGTCTGTACCACTCTTTATTCCTGTTATCTCTACAGAACAAAGAGAACATTGACTGCCTGGATTTCTTTGTCTTTGTCCTGTGCATTGTCAACAGAGATATTAAACCAATTTCAATCACTTACACCTGAGTAAAACCCGCCACAACAGTGGGGCTACTCAGCTGCCAGGGCGCAGAGCTGCAGGATCTGTACGGCTGGTGACGACGAAAAGGCAGGAAGGAGCCCGGCTTGGTTCTCAGACCCCGCAGGGACGTTGCGGGGCTGGCAGTTCGCCAGGCCGCCTGCTGACTTGCCAGCGGAGCAGACCTGGAACCTCAGCGCGCCCGCGCCCGCGAACAGCCCCTCACCGCAGAGCCGCGCTTTGGGGCGGGCGTTACAGGGAAATCTGCTGCCGGAGCCCCTCCGGACCTAGGGGAGCGGCCCCCTCAGCCCAGCCAGCTGCCGTTGGGCGGCGGGGGGATCAGGGGGAGTCCCGTCCCAGCCCAGCCCCCGCCCGCATCGACACCGCCGGGACGGGGCGGCAGGTGGGGGAGGGGAGGCCGAACGGCGGCAGGCTCGCTCGCTCGCTGCGGGAGCGGACTGGCGGCGGCCCGGGGGGGGCGAGGGGGTCCCGCCGGCGCCCGCTCCCTCGCGCCCCACACTCACGGGGCAGGGCGGCCGCCGGCCGCGTGCAGACACAAGGCCCCGCCAACCGAACCGCGCGCCCAGCCCTTGACCTCTCACCTCTAACCCCTCCCAGCATGCAGTGCGCGGGCGACAGACTTCCCCCTTCCCGGCGTGCGCTGCGGTCGCTTCCTTCTCCTCGCCTTTCCGAGCGTGCGCTGTTGCCTGGTAACGTGGAGTAGTGGGGCCCGGCGTGGGCGGCGGCGGGCAGGTGAGAGGCGGCCCCGGTCGGAGCGCAGCGCAGCGCAGCGGGCTGTACGGGCAGGGTCGGGGGAGCTGGGGAAGGAGCGGGGCAGGGGTCGGGTCCGGCGGAAGGGGGAGGTGACTGGGAGGGGGAGCGGAAGATGGCTGGGCCGTGGGGAGGAGGGAAGGGGGGGAAGTGATTGGGCGGGGGGAGGAGGAGCGGGAGGTGACCGCACAGAGGGGCAGGGTGGGAGCAGGGGTAGAGTTGCTGGCGGGGCGGGGCGGGGCGGGGGGGGGGTTCTTCAGTGCTGTCATGTTTTCTGCTTCCTCAGTTTCCCAGCCGTGCGTCCGCGTTGCTGCCCCTCCCCTCTACGTGCCCAGGAGTTGGTGGTGGGAGGGGGGAGGCTGGTGGAGAATATGGCTCTAATACACAGGTGGGCAAACTACGGCGCGCGGGACCCTCCTGCCCGGCCCCTGAGCTCCCGGCCCGGGAGGTTAGTCCCGGGCCTCCCGACCCCCCGCAGCCTCAGCGAGCCGACGGGCAACGCTCGGGGCGGCCGGTCAGCGCACTTGAAGAGCCGTGGCCTGACCCGGTGTTCTGGGCGGCGCGGTAAGGGGGCGGGGAGCAGGGGGGTTGGATTGAAGGCAGGGGGGTTGGGGGAGGTGGGCAGGGGGCAGGGGTGTGCATAGGGGTGGGGCGGTCAGAGGGTGGGGAACAGGGGGGTTGGATGGGGCAGGGGTCCCGATGGGTCATCAGGAATGAGAGGGGGGTTGAATGGGGCGACAGGGAGGAGTCCAGGGGTGGTTGGGGACAGGGAGCAGGGGGTGGTGGATGGGGGAGGAATCTCGGGGGGGGGGGGCCGTCAGGGGACAGGGGGTTTGGATGGGGCAGGAATCCCTGGGGAGCCGTCAGGGGCGAGAAGCGGGGGGTCAGATAGGAGGTGGGGGCCGGGCCATGCCTGGCTGTTTGGGGACACACAGCCTCCTCTAACCAGCCCTCCATACAATTTTGGAAACCTGATGTGACCCTCAAGCCAAAAAGTTTGCCCCCATCTGTTTTTACTCAGTGAGATGATCCAAGTGCCATTACACCCCATCCCATGTGCTTTTTTGCATAATCATCTCTGGAATCCCCATCACATGGCAGTTTAAGAGCTGGGTGGTGTGATGCTGCTGCACTGGAAGCTCTTTATTCCTGAACAGAACTAAGGACCTCTCCCATTATTTTGTCTACTGACCTGCGAGAAGCAGGCCACAGTGAGGGCTAAATTTTCGTACTTTGCATGTGGCTAGACCTCACTAATCAGCAAAAAATGAACAGAACATCAGCACCTCTCCAAAGACCCCAACCCCCATACGTTTCAGTCTCCTCAGCAAGACACAGCAAATTTATGGATGACTTTTAATTAAAGACTAAACTAAATTATACTGAAAACCCTAGTTTGAAGTGGCTGCGTAAACATTGAGATTGTCTTCTGGTCATTAGTGCAGGTCCTGCTACAGCAGAAAAACTTCAGCTCCCTCCCTTGTGAGGGTCTTTTAAAGGATGCTTAATGAACAGAACTGCAAATGGAAAAAACTTGTTAGGATACATGTAGTCCATGCCCTGTCCTGTGTGAGATTGTGCTGTGGCCAAATAGAAGCTACTAACAAGTAATTACTGTTGATATCTAGTCTAAATTTTCCTTCATTTAATTTCATCCCACTAGTTTACACCCATTTCAGTCACCCTAAACAAAGCAAGTAAACTCGGATTGAGAGCGTGGGCTGGAGGAAGTATTTTGTTCCTTTAGTTCTTTTTGTCAAAGGAGACATTTAGAGGTGGGTAAACTGTCACTAGAGCTTTTCTCCATAGAAATCTGGCTGTTTTCAATATTATTGACATTTGCAGCACTTTTATGAATATTGTTGGCACAATACTGTGGGGACATTTACTGTTGAGAAGACTGAAAATGTTGTAGCAAATTTTACATTCCTTTTTTTTTAATTTTGAGCTGAGTTGGTGGTTTTTGACTGATTCCAAGGTGTTGATTCTAATTCCATCCTACGTGGTCAAGAGGATTAAGCAGAAGTCATTTTGATTGATTTATTTTCTCAGAGGGAAAGGCTGCATTCTGTGTGATCATTCTCTGCTCATCTGAATAAAAAGCAGGAAGCTGCTATATATTGCTCTCTGGTGCAGGGGGTCAGACTGGGAATAGAAACTGTAGTGGTACTGTCTCAGATTGTAACCACAACCCAAACTCCACCAACTCATGACACCATTACTAGACATCTCTCACAACAGATTGTGGAGATCTTCATACCATAATTGTATCTGTTCTTTCTTACATGCTTTGATCAGCAGTGAAATAGTTAACCGAGGTCCTGTCTGGAAGGTGAAAAAAGATGATTGGTTTTTGTTTGTTTTATTTTTAAATAAAAGTGTAAGCTAACAGCATTTGAAACGCCCTAGATTATTAGGCCTTTATTAGCCAGTTAATAAATTTTAAAAGTGTGAATCTGTGCCCTCATGAGGTGCATCCCTGAACTGCTGTTTCAGGCTGTTGGCTTGTCCATACTGGGTGTATCTTGCACCGGTGTAGCTACACCTATATAGGTGCAGATTCACGGCACCAGTGTAAAAAGTGGCTTACCCTGTATTGACTAATTGAAGTCACTTCTTATGCTGGTGTGTTACACTTAAACTAGGGTTTTGCACATGTGCAGCTACAGCAGTGTGGATACACTGGTGGAAAAACCCCATGGTAGACCAGGCCTAAAGCAGTGGTCTCCATATTGGGTACACCAGTGGTTCTCAAACTGGGGGGCATGAGGTTATTACATGGGGGCTCATGAGCTGTCAGCCTCTACCCCCAAATCCCGCTTCATCTCCAGCATTTATAATAGTGTTAAATTAAAAACATTTTTTTTTTTATATTTATAAGGGAGGTTGCACTCAGAAGCTTGCTGTGTGAAAAGGGTCACTAGTACAAAAGTTTGAGAACCACTGTCTTACACTCTGTTCCCATTTGTAAAGTTACCTTCATAACCAGAAGGAGCACAACATGCAGTTACTCGAGTGAAGTGGCAGGTCACTGTGATGTTTTGCCCAAGACACCCAGAACTGTAAGCCACTGTGTTGCCCCTCAGCCTTAGCAAGAGTGAGCTTTGCTGGACAATTAGACTGTGTGTCAGCTTCCTGGCACACCAGTCTGTCTGCTTCACCAGCAAACTCCTCAAGATTCTGTTCGTTGTAATCGTGCCTTGCAGGTAACAATCAGTTGATCTAAGTTGCGCAGCTGCATATTAAGTGCTGCACAGGTGCTCAGGGCTGCAGTGGGGAGACAGGCCTCTCCCCAAGCCCCAGACCTGCCACGACGCCCCTCCCCCGGCCCTGACCCAACCCAGTCCTGAACATGCTGCTGCCAGGGGACAGGCTCCCCTCCCCCGGCCCAGAACCTGCTGCAGCCAGGGGACAGGTGCCCCTCCTGTTACTAGCTTTGACCGTTACTTTGGGGTATGCTCATTTATTAGGGCTCCTCTTTGCGGGGGGGGGGGAGAGGGGGGAAGGTTTCTGTATGTCTATCAATGTACTGCTTCTGTCGCTTGTGTTCTCATATTGTGTTCTCTACTTCTCCCTGCTGCAAGTTCCCTCCCAAAGGAGCTATCTTGCAGGATCTAAGTTCCCCAGGGCTGGGTTCTTCCAGCCCCAGAATCAGGCGCACGCACACACCCCCCCGCCCGTGCATCTGAGAGGTCCGGGTTAATCAGCACTCCCAACCTGAGCCCTTATATGTCCCTGGACTCCCCAGGCTGGGTCCAACAGCACCTCTAAGCTGCCACCCTCCTATGCTATGAGCACGGCGCCAGAACACAGTACGCCTGAGCAGTCTGGGTCGAGCAGCACTTTCAAGCTGCCACCCTCATATGTCCCTGGTTCAGCACATCTCTACCCCCACTTCCACATTACAATTGTTCTGGTCGTAACCCACAGGGTGAGCAAACCCCACAGGATTTTTTGGCGCTGCAGGGATTTTTAGCTTAGGTACAAGGAGCATTGCTGCAGAGCAAATGAGGAAACCAAAAAACATCCATGAGGGGGTGAGGGGGAAGAGAGAGAGAGAAGCAACCAGCCCTTAATCATGAAAGTTATTTATTGCCAGGTAATAAACATAGGGGAGCCAAACAAACAAAACAGTTATTATAATAAATCTAACTTAAACTTGACTATAAAAGTCAGGTTTAGAAAACTATAACTGATCACGCAAATTAGGGTCAGAAGGCTATATCTAGAGAGAGAGAGCTGGGTTCTCACCACCCCCGTGAAGCTGGAATTGATCAGGGGTCCCAGGTGGTGGTGGTAGCTGAGGGACAGGCAGAGCCCCCAGCATGATCAGTCAGGAGAAGTTGAAGTCCCAATGGACCTGATGCAGATTTTGGATCCAGGCATCAGAGCACTTACTTGAGTATGAGTCGGGGTTTTTGTAGAGAAACAACAGTGGTTCAAGGGAGAACACTAGATTTGTTTGTGTAAATTGATGGCTCAAGGGAGTATCCCAAAGTTGTTTTGTTCAGGCTAGACAATGGGAGCTGATCATTCCTGGCTATGGTCGGTGAGCTCCCTCCAAGGAACACAGTGCAATTAGGGAGCTTCACTATTTTGGATACTAATAAAGGATTTCTTACTAGAATTCGTCTGATAACTATTGAGCTGGGTGTGTGCAGGCATAGGTTCATTAACATCTGGAGCAGAGATCCCGCACCATGCAGTGCTTCCCTGCTTTTCTGGTCCCAGAGTTCAGTGTGGTTCTTGCCTTGGAATCTTAAACACAAAAAAGAATGGCCAAATGACCAGGGAAGAGTATAAAAATATTGCTCGGGCATGCAGGAGTGAAATCAGGAAGGCCAAGTCACACCTGGAGTTGCAGCTAGCAAGAGATGTTAAGAGTAACAAGAAGGGTTTCTTCAGGTATGTTAGCAACAGGAAGAAACTCAAGGAAAGTGTGGGCCCCTTACTGAATGAGGGAGGCAACCTAGTGACAGAGGACGTGGAAAAAGCTAATGTACTCAATGCTTTTTTTGCCTCTGTCTTCACGAACAAGGTCAGCTCCCAGACTACTGCACTGGGCAGCACAGCATGGGGAGGAGGTGACCAACCCTCTATGGAGAAAGAAGTGGTTTGGGACTATTTAGAAAAGCTGGACGTGCACAAGTCCATGGGGCCGGATGCGCTGCATCCGAGAGTGCTAAAGGAGTTGGCGGATGTGATTGCAGAGCCATTGGCCATTATCTTTGAAAACTCATGGCGATCGGGGGAAGTCCCGGACGACTGGAAAAAGGCTAATGTAGTGCCAAACTTTTAAAAAGGGAAGAGGGAGGATCCTGGGAACTACAGGCCAGTCAGCCTCACCTCAGTCCCTTGAAAAATCATGGAGCAGGTCCTGAAGGAATCAATTCTGAAGCACTTAGAGGAGAGGAAAGTGATCAGGAACAGTCAGCATGGATTCACCAAGGGCAAGTCATGCCTGACTAATCTAATTGCCTTCTATGACGAGATAACTGGCTCTGTGGATGAGGGGAAAGCAGTGGACGTGTTGTTCCTTGACTTTAGCAAAGCTTTTGACACGGTCTCCCACAGTATTCTTGCCAGCAAGTTAAAGAAGTCTGGGCTGGATGAATGGACTATAAGGTGGATAGAAAGTTGGCTAGATTATTGGCTCAACGGGTAGTGATCAATGGCTCCATGTCTAGTTGGCAGCCGGTATCAAGTGGAGTGCCCCAAGGGTCGGTCCTTGGGCCGGTTTTGTTCAATATTTTCATAAATGATCTGGAGGATGGTGTGGATTGCACCCTCAGCAAGTTTGCAGATGACACTAAACTGGGAGGAGAGGTAGATATGCTGGAGGGTAGGGATGAGATACAGAGGGACCTAGACAAATTGGAGGATTGGGCCAAAAGAAATCTGATGAGGTTCAACAAGGACAAGTGCAGAGTCCTGCACTTAGGACGGAAGAATTCCATGCACTGCTACAGACTAGGGACCGAATGGCTCGGCAGCAGTTCTGCAGAAAAGGACCTAGGGGTTACAGTGGACGAGAAGCTGGATATGAGTCAACAGTGTGCCCTTGTTGCCAAGAAGGCCAATGGCATTTTGGGATGTATACGTAGGGGCATTGCCAGCAGATAGAGGGACGTGATCGTTCCCCTCTATTCGACATTGGTGAGGCCTCATCTGGAGTACTGTGTCACTACAAGAAGGATGTGGAAAAATTGGAAAGAGTCCAGCGGAGGGCAACAGAAATGATTAGGGATCTGGAACACATGACTTCTGAGGAGAGGCTGAGGGAACTGGGATTGTTTAGTCTGTGGAAGAGAAGAATGAGGGGGGATTTGATAGCTGCTTTCAACTACCTGAAAGGGGGTTCCAAAGAGGATGGATCTAAACTGTTCTCAGTGGTAGCTGATGACAGAACAAGGAGTAATGGTCTCAAGTTGCAGTTGGGGAGGTTTAGGTTGGATATTAGGAAAAACTTTTTCACTAGGAGGGTGGTGAAACACTGGAATGCATTACCTAGGGAGGTGGTGGAATCTCCTTCCTTAGATATTTTTAAGGTGAGGCTTGACAAAGCCCTTGCTGGGATGATTTAGTTGGGGATTGGTCCTGCTTTGAGCAGGGGGTTGGACTAGATGACCTCCTGAGGTCCCTTCCAACCCTGATATTCTATGATCTCTGTTCTCTGTTCTTTATGCTAATGGCGATTCCTCCTTGTCCCATTTTCCATGCAAATGAGGCTAGGGGAGTTTCCTTAATCCTGTCACTCTTTATCCCAGGGGTTTAGGTGTGTCTCCCACTGCCTTTTCATTGCTTTTTATAAGTCTTTTTCTAATCAGTTTTGGTTCAAGCAGAGGCTGGGGGCGGGGGGAAGGTCTTTCATGAGTCAGACTGGCTGGGTACTGCGCCCTAGTTCCCCAAGAACACAGAGCTTCTAGGTAACACTTCCCTGATCCAGCCCCGACCCTGCTGTGGCTGGGGGACAGGCACCCCGGCCCCAACCCAGCCCAGCCCCGAACTTGCTGCGGCTGGGAGACAGGTGCCCCCTCCCCCAGCCCCGACCCAGCCCAACCTTGAACCTGCCGTGGCCGGGGAAGAGGCCCGCCTCCCCCGACCCAGCCTGGCCTGGACCTGCCACAGCCGGAGAAGAGGTTCCTCTCCCCCCCAGCACTGGTGCTGCTGCTGGGAGAGAGAGCTGTTGGGGGGAGTCCTCTCTCCTCATTGTAACCCCAGGGTGCCCCACTGCACCCTAAACTCCTCAACCCCAGCCCCACCCCAGAATTCGGAACCCTAGCCGGAGCCCTCACCCCCTGCAACCTAACCCTCTGCCCCAGCCCTGAGCCCCTCATCCCCGGACCTACCCCAAAGCCCATATCCCTAGCCAGAGCCCTCACCTGGCGTAGCACAACCCTCTGCCTGAGCCCTTCATCCCTGGCCCCACCCCAGAGCCTGCACCCCCAGCTAGAGCCCTTAACCCTCCCCCCCACCATCCAACCCTCTGCCCCAGCGCTGAGACTCCCCACACACTCCAAATCCCTTGGCCCACCCTGCCACATGAATTTTGTTATATGCACCAATATGGAGGTGATGTGTCACACATCACCACCATATTGGTGTACATAACAAAATTCATTCCGCACATGGGTGGGAAAAATTAGAGAGAACACCGTCAGTGATCCTGAGTTCCCCTGAGATGTCTCTCTGTAGTGTTCAGTCCCTTTCACAGGACACTCATAGAAACTATTAAATATGCTGCCTCCAAAGAGACGGTGCCCACACCAGTCTGTAAGGCTAGCTGAGGACTCCCTCTATATTTCAATATAATAACACTGTGATGGTTTATAGTAAAACTAAGAATAAGTTTAACAACAAAGACCAGAGATTGAAGTGATACAAAGGAAGAGGAAAAGAGACAGGTATGATTACAAACAAAACAAAACAGGCTTGCTAATGACTACAATTTAATTTTAGCATGTTACAATCTTTGCCCAAGTAGGTTTCTCACTTACATCAAACTAGTAGCAACTCCAGCCATTCAGATAGGAGCATCCACTTTTCAGAGGCTCAGAAGGTGAAGTTCCCCATGTCCCCTCAGTGATGGATAACTAAAATGCCTTTTTGCTCCCCTTTGTAGTAGGAAGAGAGCCTGAGATATAAGTACTTGTATCAGAAGCCTGGTATGAGGCAATCCTGCTCACAGAATTTGGCAGAAACAGGGCTGATATTGCAAAAATACACATTCTGAAGAAGTGCTAGTCACAGAGTGCTCACGCAAACACATCCCAATATCAAGTGGTACCAAAACATCCCAATATCAAGGATGGTACAAAAACATTTCCCAAGGATAACAGGAACACAGTGACCCCCTCCTAAAAAATTAGGTCAGAATAACAATGTGTAATAGAGATGTTTTGATCAAACCAACATGTACAAGACGATGGGTAATAATTAGCAATGTCCGGGGGCAGTGACTAATTATGTTAAAGGGGCAGTACTAACTTGTTCATATCGGGGTATAAAAATGTATTTCAGAGGGAGTATCTTTGTCTAGCCTTAGAGAGGAACAGAAAGTCCCACTGTTTGCTGAGCTGGTCCATTGCTACAGGCATACATGTATTAGTGGTCCAGTAGAGTCTGTGGGATACTAGTACCATGCTTTGTTGACAATAAACCTAGCTGGGTACCTTTGTCCCTTAATGGATCTTGTGGTCATTGCGTGGTTCACTCAAGGTCTGCTATGCCAGCTGTCTGCTCAGGGCTGGAGCGGCACACATAGGGTACACACACACGCAGCAAAACATCTATCAACATCTAACCATACCCTTATAGTTCCCAAAGTTTATTGTCTCTATCTCAAGAGCAGCTTCCTGGGGTGCTGATTCTCTCTCCTGGTGTGATCATTAAATTGTCTCCTCCTCTGTTGGTTAGCTTGATGACTCTGTTTACTGTATATGTAAATATACTTTCATTGTCCTCTGCCTGTAATCAAGCTGCTCATACAGGTAAATGCATGTTCCTTTGTCTAGGGCAGGCTGAGTTTATGCACTACCTCCGAAGCATATTTTAATAACTTATTTCTAGCACAGCTATATAACGCTTTGTATGCAAACCATTCAGACATCATGCAGTGATGTTCAGGACCCGCATGTTACCAGTGTACATGTGATACCTTACACAATACCTTTTAGATATATATTATGACAACAGTGTGTTGGGAGTAATGAGTGTGTCAGACCTAATTTGAGTTATAGTCTGGTGAGCCCACTGCCAGAGGGTCTCCCAAGGTCACAGTCGCCAAACTATCCCAATCAGTCCCTAGAGTGAGTGCATATGAAGACAACCCAGGATATAAGTGGGAAATTATGACCACTTCTTGTGCTTTTTTTTTTTGGAAATGTAGATTATTCTTGTTCTTAACATTTCTCACTGTGCTCAATTCTTCTGTTTTTTCAGAGTATTCAGACATACAGTTATTGCCATTTTACTGCTATTCACTAATGCCTGGGTGGTTGCAAAGATGGTGACTGCAGATGACAGCCAGTGGGATGAAACCGTCTGTGACATGGCTGTTTGCCAACATCCACAGTGCTGGGACACTATAAGGAGGATTGAACAGGGACATCCTCGGGTCCGTTTAAGAAACTTTGACTCACTCTGCAGGGCTTCTTCTTTGGAAAGCAAAGGTATAACCAGTGACATAGACGCTGTCTTTTCTAGGAGGAAAAAGATCTATTCTGAACTTAAGTTAGCCAACTTCAGGGACAATCCTAGCACATTCAAGGCAGTTTGTAGTTTTCACACAAGTTAGCAGGTCAAGTTAAAGACTATTCTGTGACATTGCACTGCATATGTTTAATAAAAATATGTTTATAAGTGTGGCTATGATGTAACTGGAATATGCTTTATGCAAAAGGTCTCTTGTAAGGTACCATTACAAAGCCTGTGATCTACTGAGTGTGCTCATCCTATTTGTATGTATGTATCATTCTTGTATCTAAAACTAGAAATATGAAGTATAACTATGAGGTCCTATTGTAATTATGCAAAGTGTGAGCCATTAATGGTGGTTTAGAATCTTGATGGCTCCCATTGTCTAGGACAATTGACTGTAGATGGCTCTGTTTACCTGAAAGTCTCCACTGCATGTGTGCAGGCCAGTCCTGAAGGAATGGAGAGGGGCTCACCAGATATGTGATCATGTTACCTGAACTGGAATCCATCTTAAATCCAGTGCTTTTCCATTTAGAAGGAGGGGTGGGAATCCAGAGGGAAACAAAGTATTCCCGCCTTGTGCCAAAGCTATAAAAGGGGGTGGAACAGAACAAAGGGGGCCAGTCATGAAGAAATCCCCTAGTTACCGCCTGAGCTGGAACTAACAAGGATTGTACCAGGGAAAGGATTGGGCCCAGACTAGGAAGGATTCCAGTCTGTGAAAGAAGCTTATTGGAACATCTCTGAGGGTGAGATTTCATCTGTAATCAGTTTCTTAATGTATTAGGCTTAGACTTGTGTGTTTTGTTTTATTTTGCTTGGTAACTTACTTTGTTCTCTCTGTTATTAATTGAAACCACTTAAATCCTACTTTTTATACTTAATAAAATCACTTTTGTTTATTAATTAACCCAGAGTAAGTGATTAATACCTGGGGGAGCAAACAGCTGTGCATATTTCTCTATCAGTGTTATAGAGCGTGAACAATTTATGAGTTTACCCTGTATAAGCTTTATACAGAGTAAAACAGATGTACTTGGGGTTTGGATCCCATTAGGAACTGGGTGTCTGGGTGCTGGAGATAGGTGACCTGCTGAACAATTTTTGGATAAAGTCTGCAGATTTGTGGATGTGGTTCAGACCTTGGGTCTGTGTTGAAGCAGGTTAGCATATCTGGCTCAACAAGACAGGATTATGAAGTCCCAAGCTGGCAGGGAAAATGGGCTCAGAGGTAGTCTCAACACATCACATGACAGTCTCAAGGGGGTCTCTGTGACCGAACCATTCATAGTTTGGTTTTTTTAAAGCTAGAAAGGACCATTGTATCATCTACTGTGTCCTCCTTCATAACACTTGCCAGAAAATTTCACTGTCACCCTTATGTTGAACCCAATAATTTGTGTTTGACTAAAGCATATTTTCCAGAAGGGCATTTAAGTCTTGATTTGAAGACCTCAAGATACAGAGATAGAGAATCTATGACTTCTCTTGGTATTTTGTTCCGATCACCCTCAATGTTAAATGTGTGCGCCTGATTTCTGATTTGAATTTGTCTGATTTAAATTTACAGCCATTGGTTCTTGTTATGCCTTTGTCTGCTAGATTAAAGAATCCTTTAGTACAGAAAGAACAGGAGTACTTGTGGCACCTTAGAGACTAACAAATTTATTAGAGCATAAGCTTGCGTGGGCTACAGCCCACTTCATCGGATGCATAGAATGGAACATATAGTAAAACTGTGAGAGGCTAATTAGTTAAGATGAGCTGTTATCAGCAGGAGAAAAAAACTTCTGTAGTGATAATCAAGATGGCCCATTTAGACAGTTGACAAGAAGGTGTGAGGATACTTAAGGGAATAGATTCAATATGTGTAATAACCCAGTCACTCCCAGTCTCCATTCAAACGCAAGTTAATGGTATCTAGTTTGCATATTAATTCAAGCTCAGCAGTTTCTCGTTGGACACCTTCTTGTCAACTGTCTAAATGGGCCATCTTGATTATCACTACAAAAGTTTTTTTTCTCCTGCTGATAATAGCTCATCTTAACTAATTAGCCTCTCACAGTTTGTATGGCACCTTCCAACTTATCTGTGTGTGTGTGTGTTGTATGTATGTATGTGTATATATATATATCTTCTTACTATATGTTCCATTCTATGCATCCAATGAAGTGGGCTATAGCCCACGAAAGCTTATGCTCTAATAAATTTGTTATTCTCTAAGGTGCCACAAATCCTCCTGTTCTTTTTGCGGATACAGACTAACACGGCTGCTACTCTGAAACCTGTCTTTAGTACAGAGGTCCCCAAACTGTGGGGCATGTCCCCCTAGGGGGTCTGTGGAGGAACGTTAGGGGGACCTCCGGGGTGAATACAGATAAGGGTGAGCACGACCATGAAAAGTTTGGGGACCGCTGCTTTAGTACGTGGTATTTTCTGTCTATGAAGGCACTTATACACTGTAATCAAGTCACCTCTCAATCTTCTTCTTGGCAAACTAAACAGATTGAGCTCAGTAAGTTTCTCACTGCAAGACATTTTTTCCAGCTCTCAGATTATTTTTGTGGCTGTTTTCTGCACAGCAGTTTTTCAGCATCCTTTTAAAATTGTGGATTCCAGAACTGGACACAGTATTCCAGTATTGGTGTCTTCAGTGCTGTGTACAGAGGTAAAATCACCTCCCTACTCCTACTCCCGTTTATACATCTGAGGATCGCATTAGCCCTTTTTTTGCCACAGCATCACACTAGGCGGTTATGTTGAGGTTTTTGTCCACGCTGACCCGTAAATCCTTTTCAGAATCACTCCTATCCAGTTCTGTAGGTATGGCCTGCATTCTTCTTACACGTATGACTGTGTTAAAATATACTTTGTTTGAATGAGCCCATCTTACTAAGCGATCCAGATTGCTCTGTATGACTGCCCTGTTCTCCTTATATTTATCATTTTGCCAATATTTTGTGTCATCTGCATATTTTACAGGGGGAGCTCAGTCTTTAACTCCACCTGCTAACTCATGTACAAACTACAAACTGCCTTCTCGTCACTAGGATTTCACCTTATGTTAGCTAGTGAGTTAAGAATACACTTTTTTCCTAATGAAGGCACATTCCAAGAGACTCAGGCTATCAGCTCAGAAGGAAAACCCTCCAGCTCTTCTACCTTTCCTTGCATTGCCTGCTAGTTTTAAATATGTATATGAAATACATTTATACTTAGAATATATTATGAATATACTCAAGTTACTGATCTTGCTCATGGTTCACATGTATAACTCACTTATTGTCCCTGTACCACTGCCCGCCCCATCCTGGAACTGACCTCCACTAGCTACACCAGAGGTGGGCAAACTACAACCCGTGGGCCACATCTGGCCTGCGGGACCCTCCTGCCTGGCCCCTGAGCTCCTAGCCCGGGAGGTTTGTCCCTGGCTTCTCCCCTGCTGTTCCCCCTTCCCGCAGTTGGGGAGCCGCAGCCTGACGCTGTGCTCTGGGCGGTGTGACTGTAGCGTCGCCAGCCACTGGTGCTCCAGACAGCATGGTAAAGGGGCAGGGGGGGTTGGAGGGGTGGTCGGGGGGTGGGGGGGTGGCTAGGGATCGGGGTGGTCAGAGGGTGGGGAACAGAGGGGTTAGATGGGGCAGGGATACCAGGGGGCAAGTCGGGAATAAGAGGGGGGGTTGGATGGGGTGGCAGGGGAGCAGTCGGGGAGGGAGGTCCAGGGGTGGTCAGGGGACAGGGAGCAGGGTGTGGTGGATGGGGTAGGAGTCCCTAGGGGGCCGTCAGGAGACGGGGGGGGAGGTTGGTTGGGGCAGCAGTCTCGGGGGAGCCATCAGGGGGCAAGAAGCGGGGGGGTCGGATAGGAGGTTGGGGCTGCAACCGGCCCTCCATACAATTTTGGAAACCCAATATGGTTCTCAGGCCAAAAAGTTTGCCGTCCCCTGAGCTACACTGAGGTAAAAACTACCTCCATTTTGTCTCTGCTAGGATTTTACATCAGGGCAGCTATCTTGATGCTAAAACACACATTGTTTTTGCAATGAAGACAAAGCCACTAAGGCCGAAATCGTGTTTAACAGCATTTTAGTTAAAATGTGTTAGTTAACATGTTTTCTAACAGATTGCATGCATGTTCCCAATTAGACAAGACTGGGTAAGAGACATCTAAAGCTTCAGGTGCAGCAGGAAGTGCTGTTGGATTCAGTGTTGGCATTTTCCCCTTAGAGTCAGTACTGAACCAGTGCCCCGCTATGGTTTTTGGGATTTCTATAATAATGTCTTTCACATGAGAGGTAAAACTGAGGTCTTGACCACTTGTGCTTATTAAAGATCCTCTGACTCTTTCTCTGTAAGGAGGAGATATTAAACTTTGGCGTCTCGGCCAAATTCCAACGAGGCAATGAAATTCAATATCCCTAAAAGTTCCCCCTGCAATTAGATTTGTATTATTCTTCATATCCTCTCAAACAGTCGTGTAGTATTGCTCTGCACTGTTAAATAGCTGCAGAGGTTGCTGCACTTGGGTGGTGGTTTAAGTGAGCCTGACATGTTCCTTATCTTTCTGGTCTGGGAGGGGGTGGGGTTGTGAAGCTTAATTAACTATTGTTTGTAATGTATTTTGAGATCCTCTGATGAAAGGCACTAGGGAAGGCAGAGGATTAATTATATTATAATTAGTTACTAATAAACTGGGCTAACAGGACACCAACAAGGCTGTAATAATATCTAAAATGGACAAGATGTATTTTGAGCTAAATGGTTCCTCTAACTGTAGAATTCTGTAACATCAGGTCCTCAGTGTTCACAGTAAGAAAAGGAGTACTTATGGCACCTTAGAGACTAACCAATTTATTTGAGCATGAGCTTTCGTGAGCTACAGCTCACTTCATCAGATGTTTACCGTGGAAACTGCAGCAGACTTTATATACACACAGAGAATATGAAACAATACCTCCTCCCACCCCACTGTCCTGCTGGTAATAGCTTATCTAAAGTGATCAACAGGTGGGCCATTTCCAGCACAAATCAGTACTCCTTTTCTTTTTGCGAATACAGACTAACACGGCTGTTCCTCTGAAAAGTGTTCACAGTGTTTTTGCTTTTAATTTTTAGATGAATTACCAACACTGAAGATAATAAACTTCCCCAGCAATTGCTCTCCTCGAGGAAGGATCAGATGTTCCAATTGTAACAGAACTATTTCCACCTTTGCTGCACTTGAGACCTCTTTCTCTCCTTCTCTGTATGATACTTCAGTCTATGACTTCTCTGACCGAAATTCTGAAGTCAGGTGAATTGTTGCTGAGCTCCAATCTCTGGATGACTTTTGAAGGTTGTCAGTATTCCCAGGACTAAGAGTCTGTAGCAGAATGGTGGCACCCTTGTTTTTCTGATAGAGGCTGAGAAGAATATGAATGTTTTAGAGATTGGAATTGCCATGGGACATGGAGCATGTCACCATCTGTGTTTTATACATTGCAGAGCAAACTGTTAGCACTTATGGCCCTGATTCTGTAAATAATTACACATATGATGAACTTTACTCATGTGAGTGGACCCACTGATTTCAATATTAAGCGCATGCATTAGTTTGTACGATCAGGGCTTAAAAATAAATGTATTTAAAAGATTGCTCTTCTAGAATGTAGAATACTTTGTTATTAAATATTCATATTGTTCATACCAGTGCCAGGTCCCCATTGTGCTAGGCACTGCACAAATCCACAGAAAAACAGTCCCTAACACAAAGAGCTTACAACGTAGACCAAAAAAACAAACAAACAAATTGAAAGGTGTGGAAAAGGGATACACATACAATCCAAGCCCTTGATCTGTACATGCTAAGCTTTATGTACTGAGAGTAGTTCCCATTGACTTCAATGGGACTACTTGACTGTGTAAAGTTAAGCATGTGGGTAACTACTCACAGGACCAATGCCCAAGACCCGGTTCTGTCACCTTTCCTCATGATGAGTAGTACCTTACTCCACCATGAGTAGCAGTGGAGTAAGGTATCACTTTACACCCATTTCTGCTATCTCTGTTCATGTTAAGTGATTGTGGGCATGTGTCTCGTTAGTTCCATGTTGTGTCTGTACGATGATGCCCCTTGGAAGATTGTTGGCAGCAGGGTCAAACCTCTTGATCTAAAAGTCTGAGTCTCTGATGTGTGAGCTAAAGAGCCAGCTTTGCTACTTCAAAGCCAGTGGCAAACTCCTAAAACCCTATGAGCGACCCAGCCACTTGAGAGGAACAGAGCTATTCTGTGTAAGTGTGGGTTACCTGCTGTTCATGATTTGTTAGTGGTATTTTTTAAAAAAAAATACAATAAAGCCTCATCCTTTCCCCTCTGCTCTGGTGTTCATCTTGCTCATTTCCTTTTTGTTTTAATTACCGAAATAAGTACGATTTATTTAAACTTGGTGACATCCCTTTTAAAATTGGAATTTTCACGCTTACCTTGGCATTTCCTAATTTTTGAATGCTTCCCCTGTCAAGGTCAGGGCAAGGTTAACCCTTATTTTTCCATGGATTTCCTTTCTCCTTTCAGAAAGCGGGAAAAAAAAACACCCAGGAAGGAAGATAATTTCCAGTGTAATCTGCAAGTTTCTTGATCTGGAATGAGCTGGCTTGGCCCTCCCAAACACTGTCCTCCTTAACTGAGGCCTTCTAAACTTAGCCCAACTGTGACCAAGGCCTCCAAATCCAGCTGTTTCAGCATCAAAGTTTAGATCACGTTAGCCATCCAGAGTTTATATCAATCCAAAGTTTTAGTGCTTCTCAGAGCATCATGGCAAACTGCTCTACCTGTTGAGAGGGATCGTAAAACCCTGAAATTCTACTAGATGGGTGGAATTTTTTGTATGATATACAAAAGAGAATACAAGGCAGCTGCACCAAGACAGAGAGTAAAGGAGGAGCTGTCCACTGTAACTGAATTTCCTGAACATCTTGAGTGCTTGCATTATTGCCATTGCATTAATGCTAGTTGTGTTAACTGTGCCTATAAAGTTCTTTGAAGAGGAAAAGCTCAGTGTAATAGATTAATAGATTCTAAGGCCAGAATGGACAGTTGCGATCACTAGTCTGACCTCCTTTATAACACAGACCATAGAACTTCCCCAAAATAGTTCCTAGACCAGATCTTTTAGAAAAACCTCCAATCTTGATTTTAAAACTGTCCGTGATGGAGAATCCACCACTTGAGCCCTGCAAATCTGCTTGTATCCACGGAGCATGTTTGCAGATCGCATGCAATGCAAATTTTGTATCCACGCGGAGCTCTGTCTACTACAACCTTAATAGCAGATAGTGTCCTTTGCATGCTGTTAGTTTGTATTGTTCTCACTGTGATTTTGGTTTGTGCCTATATTTCAGTTCAGAAAGAACTCATTTCCCAGGACTGAACTCAGTGGTAGGGTCACACACGATCCCACAGACAGAGATGAGCTTCACCAACTTGAATAGAGTTGGAAATGTGAGTGATTTAAATGGGGGAAAGATGAGTGCTTGCAAGGATATCCTTTTTATAGAACTCAGGGCTAACCTTTGAGCTTCTGGTAAGTTGCCATTGGGGCCCTCAGCTGGACACTATTTGGGCACTCTTGTGTTATGGCACAAAGAAAAGAAGCATCTCTCAGTGTGGCTGATATTTAGGTATGTCTGTAAATGTCGATTTCACCGCACACAGCGAAAAAATAATTCCATCAGTAATAATTGAAATTTACAGAACATGAAAGAAAGAAAATGCTGCTTGAGAACTTAGTTTGATTTAAGGATATTTATATTGTATATTTTGACATGAGATGTTGACATTTTGTGTTTTAACAGTTATAAATTTATAAATGATCAGGAAAAAGGGGTAAACAGTGAGGTGGCAAAAGTCGCAGGTGATACAAAACTATTAAAGATAGTTAAGTCCCAGGCAGACTGTGAAGAGCTACAAAAGAATCTCTGGGTGACTGGGCAACAAAATGGCAGATTAAATTCAATGTTGAAAAATGCAAAGTAACGCACATTGGAAAACATAATCCCAACTATACATATACAATGATGGGGTCTAAATTAGCTGTTACCACTCAAGAAAGAGATTTTGGAGTCACTGTGGATAGTTCTCTGAAAACATCCACTCAATGTGCTGCGGCAGAATGTTGGGAATCATTAAGAAAGGGATAGATAATAAGACACACACTATCATATTGGCTCTATATAAATCCATGGTACGCCCACATCTTGAATACTGCATGCAGATGTGGTCACCCCATCTCAAAAAAGATATATTGGAAAAGATTCAGAAAAGAGCAACAAAAATTATTAAGATTATGGAATGGCTGCCATATGAGGAGAGATTAATAAAACTGGGATTTTTCAGCTTGGAATAGAGACAACTAAGGGGGGATATGATTGAGGTCTATAAAATCATGACTGGAGTGGAGAAAGTAAATAAGGAAGTGTTATTTACTCCTCATAACACAAGGACTAGGGGTCACCAGATGAAATTAATAGACAGCAGGTTTAAAACAAACAAAAGGAAGTATTTTTTCACACAGCACAGTCAACCTGTGGAACTCTTTGCCTGAGGATGTTGTGAAGGCCAAGACTATAACAGAAAAGAGTTCAAAAAAGAACTAGATAAATTCATGGAGGTTAGGTCCATCAATGGCTATTAGCCAGGATGGGCAGAGATGGTGTCCCTAGCCACAGTTTGCCAGAAGCTGGGAATGGGCGACAGGGGATGGATCACTTGATGATTACCTGTTCTGTTCATTCCCTCTGGGGCACCTGGCATGGGCCACTGTTGGAAGACAGGATACTGGGCTAGATGGACCTTTGGTCTGACCCAGTATGGCCGTTCTTATGTTCTTATTTTCTAAAGCCTTAATTTTTTGAATATGAAAGACTGTCATTAAATAATCGTCTAACTCCACCCCCGATTGTCTCAACCCCCCATAATTTCCTCCAACTGTGAACATTTAAAAATCAATAAAAATTGAATTTTTTCTTAAAACCCATAATTTTATGCAGCTGTGAAAACTGAAATTGGTACAAAATTTAAAAATGCTTAAATACCCATTGATATAATTCATCAAAATTTTTTAAAATAATCAAATTCTACCAAGTCTACTGCTGTTCATTGCTTTGCATCCAATAATGGAAATTGATTCAGTGACTTTTTTGGTGGAGAAGAGAGTTGGTGCAGTCTTTGCAGTTATTCACTTTGAAATTATGCTCTGGGAAATCCAGCTAAGCAAACTCTCTTCCTTTTAAACAGCTCTGAATGTTTCCAGTGTATTGATTCCTGTCCTCATGTGGGAGGTGATGGCTGAGGCAAGGCTTTCAATGGAGGGCTGGGAAAGCTGCTGTAATGTTCCAAATGTAATCCAAATCTTGTTCTACAGCCCTCAAAAGCGTCTTCCAGCAAAACCAGGGAGACTGTGATTTGCTATTTTTATACGAAAAAACAAGCAGAGCTTTTAGCATGTTTTCTTTTTGAAAAGTTATGACATGTAATCATCAAGGAGAGCAAAAGGCATAAGTACTTTTCCTTTGTAGTTCCCCTTTAATATTGCTTTGAGAGTCTTACATTTACTTGATTCCTCTCATTCACATTGCATCTGCCTAGCTAGTTTTTGAGGTTTAATAATAATTAGAACTTTTCATTTGCATAGTGCCTTTCATCCCGAAGGATCCCAAAGCCACTTTGCAGACTTTAGAAGGATCATTCATCTGCTGCAGTCACCTCTTGGATGGAAAGCAGCAGCTGGTTTCCTCCAGCTATACTACCCAACAGCTGGAGTTTTTAGGAGGGGAAATGAAGAATAATTTTATTTCTCCATGTGAAATTACAGGATGAATTTTAAGGCAGCAAAATATAATTATTTACCTTAGACTTTGACTAGGCCACCAGGATTAACATTCTGTCTCTTGTGAGAAGTGCCTCAGAATCTTTAATGATCACAAGTGATTTGGGCAATTTTTTTATAGTTCTCTCCTGTGAAAGAAAACAAGAATGTAATACGTGGCACCTGCAGTAGTTCAGTGACTGCACAGCACCGTTGGCATTGGCTCAGGGAAGAGTACTGCTACAAGTGACTAATCATACCATGTTTATGTCGTAGCTCCAAGTGATGGATCTCAGTGAGGTTGCTGCTCCCAAGCAGGACTACTGTCCAGACAGTGGAAATTTGATTGTTCAATGGGTCCCAAACATACACAGAAAATCTCAGAGGCCTGACATGGAAGCAGTAACAGAGTAAGTACCATAGTGATAAATACAATATACACTGGGAGAGTCCATCTCCTAAGAGTGACTAGCTGAAGGTCACATAGTTGCCCCTATTTTCCATATAACAGAACACATGGCAGTCACCCTTACCCAGAGGTGTGGCCTGCAGAGGCGCCCCATCCCTGTGTACAATGCGCTCAGCTTGGCTCAAGATGAACCATATAGTCTTTGCTGGTCATACCTCTGTATTAAATCTGGGATAAGTATTGTAGAAGTTCAGAAGCTGCACTTGGAGCATCCAGGCCAGAGATGAGCAAAATGTGTCCTTTGCATCAGAATCGCATGGATAGCAGGTTTCAGCCATAATCCAACATCAGTAGTCTTGTAGCTCACAAACCTTGGCAGCAGCCTGAAAACCTGGCTGCAGCCTCAACTGTGAGACTGTGAAACTAATGGTATTTATAGGTTTCAGAGTAGCAGCCGTGTTCGTCTGTATTCGCAAAAAGAAAAGGAGGACTTGTGGCACCTTAGAGACTAACCAATTTATTTGAGCATAAGCTTTCGTGAGCTACAGCTCACTTCATCAGATGCATTCAGTTTTGCATCCGATGAAGAGAGCTGTAGCTCACGAAAGCTTATGCTCAAATAAATTGGTTAGTCTCTAAGGTGCCACAAGTCCTCCTTTTCTTAATGGTATTTATGTGAACTGTGAAGGAAATGGGACAGAATTGTGTTAAAAATGAGTTTGAGTCCTACTAATGGCAAATGAGACCCAATTTCAGAAGTTTGAGAAGCTGGGAAGAGCCTGCTGGGCATATGCTGTATGTGAGTGCCACCCTCTGGCTTTTGCACTGTACTCCATCCATCTCGAGAAGTAAGTCTACGTGAGTCTCATTCATGCTTTTAGCCTCAATCACTTTTCCTCAGTTTCAGGCCATTCTCTCTCTTTAGCACAGAGGGGTAGAATCTAACACACAAGGGCTGAGTTTTCATAGCTGTCTAAGGGATTTGGATGCCCATTTCCCATTAAATTTACTGAGGACTGGGCATCTAAAGCTTTAGGTGGCCTGGAAAATCTCAGCCAAGCTTTCTAGTCAAGAGCCCAGGCCACATTCCAATATCAGTTACTGACATCAGTTATTAGAGTCTGGCCCCCAGTCTTCGGGAGCTACTTTACAGTCATTTCTGTTGGATTAATAAGCATGTTCATAGTACTTTTGTGTTCATCATAAGATGTCAGTGATTTAAGAACAGACCCCGATTTGGGTGAGATTCCTGGGCTGATACAGTGACTTATACACAGACAAAATAGCCATCAGGGTGCATGCATGAGAGGGATGTGTAATTTGCATATTTGTGCAACTAATCACTGGAGTAGATGTGGCCTGAAATTCCCAGGGTGAAATTCACTTGTCGTGCAGAGGGGAGACAGCAGGCAGACGTGTCTCATGTGCGGTGCTGCACTACCTGAATGCCTCTGAGGCCTGCATGCCAGCTCTGTCCAGGCTGGCACAGAAGGCAGTATTGAGTGGGGGCAGGGACACCGGATTCATGAATACACCCATCTAGTGTCCCTAATGTCTAGCAGCCACTCGGACAATCTGTGGACTGGAATGGCTGTGCAGGAGCTGCCCACCCAGCCACTCATGCCTGTTGGGCTGTGAAGGCGGTAGCCAGACTCCCAATGTAGTTGTTTCTTTTGGTTCTCTAATTGTTGTCAGCCCAGCCCAGCCCAACCCAACCCTAGTTTCTCCAGTACTACTTAGCCACCAGCCGTCCTTACCCCCTCTCCCCCTGCCCCGGTATACTCTCCATAGGCTGGAGCTCCTTCGTATGTTGGGGAACTGAGTTGGGTCTTTAACTCCAGGGAATCTGGCTTGGATGCCTTGCCTGGTCTCTCCTCTTTTTCTTAAGACTCTCATTTGGCTGGAATTTGACTTCTGGTCAAAAGTGGGCAGGTGTAGTTGAATACCACAAAATTAGCCCTTGTCTGTGCTATTTTAGGGAGTGTAAGAGTCTGGAATTCAAACCCAGACACCCCTCCTTTGTAGCACAAAATGTCACAACTAGGTATCTTATGTTCAGGCCTGATGCCAGTTAACCCTTTCAGACATATTTGTTGCTAGTTTTATTCTGTTGTCTCTCACTTTGGGACTGGGGAGAGAGGGAATCTTTCATTTCACTGTTGCAGCCATGAGAATCTTTGAATTCCCCCTTCTTTTGGGTCCCTATCCTTTAGGCTCTGCTTTTGGCTCCCAACCTTCTGGCCAAGGACAGCTGCATCAGACTTCCCTTAACACTGTTCTCTTCCCAGCTGACACCCTTTGAGACAGGAGCATTATTCTCCTGACCCCACATCCTGACTGTTAAGAGCGCCATCTGTAGCAGTCCCACCTCTAGCAGCATGGGACTGCTACAGGAAGAGAACTGGGAATCCAATACAGGAATCCTATAAAGGCACTGGTGAGCATTAGGGACTTTGGCTACTCTAATGTTGGTCTGGATCTAGCTTTATTACCTCTCAGGTCAGCTGGGAGTAGAAGTGTCTGGTAAAGGGTTATGACATGAGTATTTTACTTCTGTAATTAATTGGATTCCTTGTGCTTTTATTTGTTTAGACTAAAGCCTTTAAGAAGAGTATGTGTTAAAAACCTTGCTTCTGAAAATCTCTTTTCCCTCAAAGAACTGCAAAGCAAAGGAAGAGATCTTGACATTGTGAGCTTCTTGGAGGTTTGCTGGTGGACTGGCCTTGTGCCCAGCCAAGTGCTATACTGCAGGGATGACAAACAGACCACTGTAAAATGGGCAAATGCTTGTGCCTTCTGGGAGTGAGGAGGGCTAAGGACTTTGCTTTCAGGCATTGCACACACATGCCTCTGGGTATAGAATTCCCAGCTCATGGATGGGCAGAGAGTTGTGGAGGCAGGGTGCTCACTCAGCCCCAGTAAGAGAGGTATTGCTGCATGTCGCTCCACAGCAAATGACCAAGCCGCAGAATTGCCGCATTCCAAAGATGTCCCATCCTGCTGGGATGAAGACACGAACAGGGATAGGGCTAAAGGCAGGATAGTGGGGGGTGTAGGAAATCCCCACTAATACCTGTGCCTCATCAGCTCTCCTTACTGCACACAATGGTATTTAACAGGTAGCTTGTCTTTTTAAAAACACGCATTCAGCAATAGTTCCCTTTGGGGAGGCATTGTCTTCACTTAGTGGGACTTTCTAAATGTTTCTGGTGGGATCACATGTGCATTACACCATCCTCTTACCTGATGGGGGTAAATGCCTCCTCTATTGGTTTAGGATCAAAGGCTCATCCTCCTGGCTTCTCTCACTGGGAAACATTTGTCCTGGAGAGAGGTCAGGAAGGGGTTTTAGACATGCCAGGAGAAAGGGCACGGGGTGTTTTCCTCCTGGGTCTGTATTTCACTGTAACTATTCTGCCCCCCAGAAGAGAAAGAAGTCCAAGAAGGTCCCTTCAGGAGGCCAACCCTATCAGCTGCTTACAAACAGAAGCCAGAAAATTAAGTTGGTGACCAAAAAAATAAAATCAGTCCCAAGCCACAGAGGTGACAGGTAAGTCTTTTGAATTAGACCACAAAGCCAGCCCCCACACTCTAGCCCAGTGTGCTGCCATGCAGGCTGGCTGAGCTTCTGTCTCTTTCAGGCCACTGCTGTTGGGCCAGCCCAGATGCAGGCATTGCAGAGGTGACACTGCTCTGGGGGCGGGTCCACACTCCTGCACTAGCAGCCTCTACTGTTCCCTTTGGGGTCAGAAGCAGAGTTGCAGCACTCAGTTTCAATTCTCTGTGCACTGGGGGAGTTTACATGTGAAAATGCAAAAGGAGATTTACAGTAGCTTCCACTTGCATGGCATCCTGGAGGGCAGGAAGGCTGCAGGCTAAGGCTGGTTAAAGGGGGAACAATAGCAGCTTTTTAGGCTGGTTTCTCTGCCCCAGCTCCAAGATCTTTGTTTTCTCTTGGGTATGGCCAGCTCAGAGGAAGGCCAGCTAAAGAAGGGAAAGGACACATTAAGATGGTATATGCAATAGCAGAGGAGACCTCAAAGCTGCATAGGAAGGGTTGGTCAATCCCCCACCTCCTCAAATAGACATTTCTTTTATATGAGTCAGTGGCTTTAATTTAGTACTAATACATTTCCAGCTTTAGCAACTTCAGCTACAAACTTTCCCCTCTGAAATGATGCAATATTGACCCTTTTGCTTTGTTTTGTCTTTAGTTCTGCAGCCAAAGAAGGGAAACCAAAGGATAGTCCAATAAAAAATAGGTATTCTTCCCCCAGACACCTGCAGACTGCTACAATAGTAGAGCTGCAAGATCAGGGTGCCCTGCAGCTGGGGAACCGGAGAGTGGATGTGCCTGATGCTACAGAGAAGCACACATGTCCTTTGCTTGTGCAGAAGGTACCCAGTTTATACAAACTAGCCAATGCAATGAGAGCCTGACTGGCCTTAAGGCCAGTGTAGAACAGAAAGCTACAGTAGCTGGTTTTCAGGCTGAGCCCGTCTTTGCTAGCAAAATGAAAGACAATACATGTCTCTGGAATGCCCACTCCATCTCTAAAAGGCCTCTGCCATTCATGTCACTCTTCTGTAGGTCGCTGTCTCCAGCTCCTGGCTTGTCTGACATGGCCTTCTCTTACAGAGGCCTCTGCTTCTCCTCCATTCCTTGCCTTGGGTCAGACTGCTGGGATGCTGGGCTTCTCCTCTCCTGGTCTTCCTGCTTCCAACCTTTCCCACTCCCCCCTTCCCACTGTTTCTCCTCTTGAACAGCCCTGCATCTGACTCTCCCTCCACGCTGGTGTCATCTACTCACTGTCCTCAGCACCCACCTGCTCCTCGTCAGCCTGCCTCTTGGATTTCCACTCCTGGCTCACCTCACCGTCTCCCACACTCACTTATCCTCGATGACTTCAATTTCTATGCAGATGACCCAGCCGGCCACTTAGTTGCACATTTCCTCACCTCTGCATTTGGCCGCAGCCCTGGTTCATCTCTCCCACTCACCAAAAGGGCTGCTCACTTGACCTGGTCTTCAGCAAACACTGCTCTCTCTGCTGTGGTGTTCCCCCTCTCTGACCATCACCTGGTATCGCTCAGCATCGCCAGTTAGTTTCCTTTTCCCCCTGCCCATGCCCTGTCACTTGGCCTTTCAGTGACTGTCTCTGTGTTCCTACAGCATCTAGTACCGTAGGGTCCTGGTCCATGGCTAGGGTGCCTGGGTACTATAGTAATGACTATTTATTTATTTATTTAAAAGTGTTTCCTCCAGTATCTCAGTGTCTAAAAGTTCTTTACATGGGGGCAAAGCTGGACAGCTGGGGCATTGGCAGTTGGATAAGGAGCCTTCCTGTGGTCTCACTGACTCTTCAGCCTGGTTAGCTAAAGGGCAATGATGATGCTATTAATTTGATATTGATAATGTACAGACCATATGCTGTAAAGAGCTACAGCTCTGGGGAGGCACTACTGGGCGTTGAAATGGAAGAAAGGACAATTGGATTTTGAGACATAAAGCCGTTCCCAACAGCCCACTTTTGAAATCCAGCGTAACTGCCCATGGAAGAGGCCAGGGGGTTCCCTCTCTGTCGATGATCGGGTCCCATCTGGGCACTGCAGGGACTTGAATCATGGCTGTGATGTCACCCATTAGCTCATCACGGCATGGCTTGGATAATGCGTGTCCCCAGCTGTACTCTAATGGGAAAGGCTTCCCCAAGCCACCTGGTATTTATAGTTGTAGAACCCTTCGCAGCTTCCCCAGCATTTAGCGCCTAAGGGCTTGTCTACACTGAAAACACTGCAGTCATACCGCGGCGCATTTCAGGGACAACACGGACTGCACCAACTGGTGGGGTTCTCCCATCGGTGCAGGTACTCCACCTCCCTGAGAGGCGGTCGGTAGGTCCGGGGCAGCGTGGTTGGATTTGTCACATGCCTGAGCTGCATAGTTATAACAGGCTAATTTCCTAGTATAGACCAGGCCTTACAGCTTTCTTCCCAGCGTCCCCATACTACACCGTGCAGCTGCCCTGCTGGAGAGAGGCTGATATTGCCCCAAGCAATTTCAACAACTGTCAGAGCTTTAAAGCTACAAGCCTCCCTCTCCACTTTGACTTCTTTGCACTCTAACACACACACTTCCTATTCAAATAATAATGAGACAATAAACACTCCTGGCTGTGAAGACTGAAAGGGGCAGATGTGGGATGGGGAAGAGCATGTGTTGGGTAGGAGGCGTGAATAAACTGATTATTTATTTAAAATGCTGATTGAAGCTACCAGGTTAAACTGTGATATTTGGGCTGTTTCTTTAGATTCCAGTTGTGAGTTTGAAAGAACAAGGCCTGGAAAGAATCAGCAACAGTCCTTATCTGAGGAAAGCATTTGAAGGTGAAACTGGACTGGATGTTAAAACTAAAGCTTGCCTTTAAACCCTTCCAGGGTGCATTTTCCTACTGTAACGGGGTTCATTCACCATTGGTGGGGCCTCCTCCTTGCAGCTCTGGAATTAGTTCTCCACCAGTTTGACGCTTCCTTTGGTCAGTTCCTTGCCCTGTGGTCTCCCTATTTCTCTAGGACTCAGGATGCCCCTTCTTCATGACTCAGCCCTCTGGCCAGGTCACTATAGTTCTGCCCTTCTGGGGTATGAAAGACCCACTGGATCAATGACCTGCTTGCCATTCCAGTCAGACTTCTGGTCCCAGGTCAGGCCCAGGGCTGCTTTCCCAGCAGTTGGTAAGGGAACCTGGGCTGGCCCACTTCTCTGGGTTCCAGTCCAGGAACTCTGTATCTGGCAACTATAGCTCCCAGATCCTGTTGCTATTTCCCTTTCAAGGGCAGATTCACCAGTACACAGCAACCAGAGTGCATTGGCAATCAAATTGGGTTTACAGGTGCCTTGTAACACCAATGCAGTGCACAGCCATTCAAATCTTCACCCTACTAGAAATATCACATGAAAGAGTGGTCTTTGGATTTCTTATTTAGTGTTTGGTTTCAGAGTAGCAGCCGTGTTAGTCTGTATTCGCAAAAAGAAAAGGAGACTTGTGGCACCTTAGAGACTAACCAATTTATTTGAGCATGAGCTTTCGTGAGCTACAGCTCATGCTCAAATAAATTGGTTAGTCTCTAAGGTGCCACAAGTACTCCTTTTCTTATTTAGTGTTTGTCACACTGTCTGGAGTAGCTTGCAACGGTGAGTGCCAATCTTAGGTCAGATTTAACCCTAAAATCACACCACATCAGGTTTCTCCCAGTCCCAAGAGACCTGTCACTTACCCCAAATCAATTGGTACTCCAGATCTTACACCAAAGACAACACTGGCAGCCACTTCTATGGAAACTAATTAAACTAACTATAGGTTTGTTGGGTAAGAAAAAAGAATAAGTTATTGAGAGGTTAAAGCAGGTAAAATATAATAAACAGGTGAATCACAGTTTGTAACTCCAAATAGGGGCAGTGGTGTAATAAACTGCCAGTTTCCCAAAAGTCTTTCAGGGCTACCCAGATCTCTGTCTTCTCATTCAGTTATTCCTTCCTGTTAGAATCTAAACAGTCCAGAGATACATGCTCTTCCTTTGAGTTGGTTCTTATAGCTTCTTCTCCAGAAAACAACCTGATCAGTGTTTTTACTCGCACAATGGCCACTTGCTTTGCAATTAGCATTTCAAGTAGTTACAGTCCTTCATTAGCATTTCACAAGATTTCTTTAGTGAGTGATTTAGTTACAGGGTTATACACAAATGCAAATGTTTGTAATAGCAAACAAACAATCGGGTATTTCACTAGTTTTCATGAATTGAACATCTGAGTACATTCTCATACTATACACCCTTTAATCTAATTACAGGGATTTACATAATGTAAATGTAATTTCAGGGGTAAATGTAATGTAATAGCAGACATCCAGTTTCAGGTAAGTGAATACAATCCCATTAGTATCACTTTTGATCTCTATTAGTGTACGAACAAATTAGTTTGAGTATATACTAATTAGGGCTGTCAAGCAATTAAAAAAATAATCAAGTGATTAAAAACATTTGTGATTAATCGCACTGTCAGACAATGATAGCATACCATTTATTTAAATATTTTTGGATGTTTTCTACATTTTAAAATATATTGATTTCAATTGCAACACAGAACACAAAGTGAACAGTGCTCACTTTATATTTATTTTTGATTACTAATATTTGTGCTGTAAAAACCAAAAGAAATAGTATTTTTCAATTCACCTCATTCACGTACAGTAGTGCAATCTCTTTATCATGAAAGTTGAACTTACAAATGTAGAATTAGGTACAAAAAGTAACTGCATTCAAAAATAAAACAATGTAAAGCTTTAGAGCCTGCAAGTCCATTCAGTCCTACTTGTTCAGCCAGTCACTCAGACAAACAAGTTTGTTTACATTTTCAGGAGATAATGCTACCCTATTCTTGTTTACAATGTCACCTGAAAGTGAGAACAGACATTGGCATGATACTGTTATAGCTGGCTAGATGCGCTAAAGTTTCATATGTCCCTTCATGCTTCAACCACCATTCCAGAGGACATGCGTCCATGCTGATGATGGGTTCTGCTTGATAACAATCCAAAGCAGTGCAAATTGATGCATGTTCACTTTCATCATCTGAGTCAGATGCCCCCAGCAGAAGGTTGATTTTCTTTTTTTGGTGGTTCGGGTTCTGTAGTTTCCGCATTGGAGTGTTGCTCTTTTAAGACTTCTGAAAGCGTGCTCCACACCTTATCCCTCAGATTTTGGAAGGCACTTTAGATTCTTAAACCTTGGGTCAGGTGCTGTTGCTATCTTTAGAAATATCACATTGGTATCTTCTTTGCATTTTGTCAAATCTGCAGTGAAATCTGCACGAACATGTGCTGGGTCATCATCTTACACTGCTGTAACATGAAATATATGGCAGAATGTGGGTAAAACAGAACAGGAGACATACTATTCTCCCACAAGGAGTTCAGTCAAAATTTAATTAACACATTTTTTTAACAAGCGTCATGAGCATGGAAGCATGTCCTCTGGAATGGTGGCCGAAGCATGAAGGGGCATACGAATGTTTAGCATATCTAGTACATAAATACCTTGCAATGCCGACTACAAAAGTGCTATGCAAATGCCTGTTCTCACTTTCAGGTGATGCTGTAAATAAGAATCGGGCAGCATTATCTCCTGCAAATTGTAACCAAACTTCTTTTTCTCAGCGATTGGCTGAATAAGAAGTAGGACTGAGTAGACTTGTAGGTTCCAAAGTTTTACATTGTTTTGTTTTTGAGTGCAGTTATGTAAAAAAAAAAAATCTACATTTGTAAGTTGCACTTTCAAAATAAAGACATTGCATTATGGTACTTGTATGAGGTAAATTGAAAAATATGATCTCTTTTGTTTATCATTTTACAGTGCAAATATTTGTAGTAAAAATAATATAAAGTGAGCACTGTACAGTTTGTATTCTGTGTTGTAATTTAAATCAGTATTTTTGAAAATGTAGAAAAACATCAAAAATATTTAATAAATGTCAATTGGTATTCTATTGTTTAACAATGTGATTAAAACTGCGATTAATCACAATCAATTTTTTGAATTAATCGCGTGAGTTAACTGCAATTAATCGCCACCCCTAATACTAATACACTTAACCCTTTGATGTTCACCCCCAAGCGAATTGACCTGTGACTCTGGCCTGAGCTAGTCTGCCAGCGTCAGTGTGTTCATGCATGAAAGCGTTTATAAACTTAAAAAAAAGACAGGTTTCAGAGTAGCAGCCATGTTAGTCTGTATTCGCAAAAAGAAAAGGAGGAGTTGTGGCACCTTAGAGACTAACAAATTTATTTGAGCATAAGTTTTCGTGAGCTACAGCTCACTTCACCGTATGCATTCAGTGGAAAATACAGTGGGGAGATTTATATACACAGAGAACATGAAACAATGGGTGTTACCATACACACTGTAACCAGAGTGATTAGGTAAGGTGAACTATTACCAGCAGAAAAGGAGTGCGGGGGGGGAAAACCTCTGTAGTGATAATCAAGGTGGGCCATTTCCAGCAGTTGACAAAAACGTCTGAGGAACAGCTGGGGGGGGGGGGGGGAATAAACATGGGGAAATTGTTTTACTTTGTGTAATGATCCAATTGAAGGACGACCCATCACTCTCACAGGTCTTGGGAGACAGGCCAGTCCTTGCTTACAGACAGCCCCCCAACCTGAAGCAAATACTCACCAGCAACCACACACCACACAACAGAACTACTAAACCCAGGAACCTATCCTTGCAACAAAGCCCGTTGCCAGCTGTGTCCACATATCTATTCAGGGGACACCATCATAGGGCCTAATCACATCAGCCACACTATCAGAGGCTCGTTCACCTGCACATCTACCAATGTGATTGATGTCATCATGTGCCAGCAATGCCCCTCTGCCATGTACATTGGCCAACTGGACAGTCTCTACTTAACAGAATAAATGGACACAAATCAGATGTCAAGAATTATAACATTCAAAAACCAGTTGGAGAACACTTCAATCTCTTTGGTCACTCGATTACAGACCTAAAAGTTGCAATTCTTCAACAAAAAAACTTAAAAAACAGACTCCAACGAGAGACTGCTGAATTAGAATTAATTTGCAAACTGGATACAGTTAACTGAGGCTTGAATAAAGACTGTGAGTGGATGGGTCATTACAAAAAGTAAAACTATATCCCCTTGTTTAGTCTCCCTTCCGCCCCCCCCCCCCCCCGCTGTTCCTCAGATGTTTTTGTCAACTGCTGGAAATGGCCCACCTTGATTATCACTACAAAAGGTTCCTCCACTCCGACTCTCCTGCCCCCCCCCCCGCTCTCCTGCTAGAAATAGCTCACCTTACCTGATTACTCTCGTTTCAGTGTGTATGGTAACACCCATTGTTTCATGTTCTCTGTGTATATAAATCTCCTCACTGCATTTTCCACTGAATGCATCCAGTGAAGTGAGCTGTAGCTCACGAAAGCTTGTGCCCAAATAAATTTGTTAGTCTCTAAGGTGCCACAAGCACTCCTTTTTTTAAAAAAAAGAAAGTTCCAAAACACATAATTATGTTAAAAGTGAGTTAAGGTTGAGAGTACTTTATCAGTAATTTAAGGGTGAAAAACAATACACAAATGCTATAATTATCCCAAAACCAAGAGTAACAAATCCAGCAATTTCAGAGTTATAGTTACACTTAAACATGTTAAGAGCTACAAATGCATTTAAGACACCCAAGTAACATGAATTCTGTCCTGTAGGGACACTATGATGGGGCAAAATGAAAATAATCTAACAAGTCTTTAAAATTCAGTGTCCCCTCATGCAGGATTAGAGACACTAAGATGCTTTCCTCATAATGGTATGGTAATTGTCTGGTGTCACTACAAGGTAGAGTACAGACTGGGTGCCTTAACTGTATTTCCAGATCTTAATATGTGTGGATTTTTTCAACGTAATCTTAACTCTCTCTATTACCTTGGTTTATTATGTGTGTTTGGGGATAATCACAGCAACAATTTGCCCTTAAATGACTGATATTTATTCTCTGTCTTAACTCGATTTTACCATAGATTTTTGTCTGGGCTCTTATGTCCTACAGCGATGGATGCTATAGAAACCCTTGAGAGATGCGTATACATTTTAGGGCTCAACCATAGCTGACAGACACCACTCTGAGTAAGTGGTGTGGATCTGCATACCAGGAGCACTAGGAGGACTGTCCCTTCCAGGACACAGGCTGCTAGGCCCTTTCCAGGGATGCAGAACATACCTGCATGTTTGTCCCACTGCTGCTGGGTGATGTGGGGGGAGTAACAGAACCATGGCTGCATCTCCTGTCCATCCCCTTCATACTGGCTAGTGTACAGAGGGGTAGCAGGAGGGAGAAGTGCTTGTGCTTGGGGAGCATGGAGATTGCCATGGTGCTTGGCTGCTGTACAGGGGTGCAAGTGCTCTTGTGCTCTCCAGATGCATCTGCCGCAGGGCAGTGCCAGGGCATCTTCTAGCCCTTAACTCACAGGTCACCTTTGAGACTGTGCTGTATTCAGGCCTGTACACTTGTCTCTTTCTCTCCAGTTTTTCCAGGCTGAGAGCTCTGACAGGCCTGATGTTCAGATGGCTTTGTAGGAAGGTTAAGTTGTCTTCTCTGTACCCCACTGTAGGCTCCTTCGGTATGAAGAGCCACGAGACCAAACTAGACCAGCAACCGGGCTATGCTGAAGCAGGGCTAATTGTACTCACCACCCAGTCTCTGGAGTCCTGCACACTAGCGGGCACAGAGGAAGCCTCTGCAAACAAAAAACAACTGTCACAAAAACCAGTAAGTCTGAGTAAAGCAATGTCTAGCAACAGGCCAGAAAGACTAGGCTTCCCTGCCAGGAAAGGGACCCTGACACTATGCTTAACAACAGTCATCACCTCAGCCCCGCATCGGATGTGTCACAGATCCCTGCCTGTGTGCCTATCCTCTGCCAAGCAGCAGCAACTGCAAGAAAAGAACCAACAGTTCAAACCATCAACAAAAATCTCCCTTCCTGCTGTCTGGACTGGAGTCTTCTGAGCATGTTCACTATCTGCTCTCTTTGAGGTCCCAGGCCCCTCCTTAGGTTACATCCTCTCTGCTGGGATAAATGGCAGGATGACAAGGGTTAACTGACAAGCAAAGCCTCTTGTTTATCCCTTAAAATAGATACCAGTGCAGGGGCAGCATGTTTTTCTTTCCATTAACCAGCACAGAAGAGTTCTTCTCCAAGGGCCAATTGTATGACAGAGCCCAGACAACAGCTCTGTGGCTCCAGCATTCATCAGTACTCAGTCACAGACTTGAGGAGTATCACTGAGAAGGTCCAAAACCAGGCATGTGGATAGTCCATGCTCTCTGTGGCCTGTTAATCACATCATGCTGCACAAAGCAAGCTCCTGGCAGTGGGTGACCAAGGAGGTTTCATTTGTCTCTGTCTTGATCACTTGCATGCTCAGTAATTACACTATTGTAGAGATGCAAACGTTGGCATTATTCTAGCATCAGACTCCACCCGGTCACTTGTATTGATTGTGAAAGGGTCAGCACAGTGACTTTGCTGAGGGAGACCTGGGTTTTAGATCAGCCTTGACAGTCTCCAGAACACGAGTTTCCCTCAGCCTTGACACTTTCCTCCCAGTAAAGAACTTACATGCAAAAGCCTTCTTGATCTTAAAGAGTAGGATTAGTTTAAGCTACCCTAGGCGAGCTGGCTAGCTATAGGGATGCTCTGTGTGCAGTGACAAAAGGAAAATGAAGAATGTTATGGGGGGAAATGAAAACGGATTCTCCTTTTGATTGACATGATCTTCTGGCATCCTGCTTCACTGAGCCAATAGCCTATTACCATATGCCCTGGCTGCTGTTGAGTGAGTGAGGAGCAGAAGTGTGCTCACCTGCTGAAACAAAATAATGTGCAGCTCTAGAGAATCTCCCCTTTTATTTGATATCCTCCTAACCCATCTGAATTGTCTGTGAACCTTTTTAGTCTGAAGAGCAGGAATCCCAGGAAGAGGAAGGCCCCAGGAAGCAACACATGGGACTTGGGAAAAGAAGGTCTTCGGGGATGTATGTGCTGTACAACAGCAGCACGGCAAGCCTGGTCCTTGAGGGTGAGTGATGAAAACATCTCCACTGTACTGTAATGACAGTGCATTAGACATTTCTTTGCAGTGTTGTTATGCATTAACCATGTCAGAATAGTGCGGGTGGGTGTGGGAGGGAAGGCACTTAAATACATGTGCCAAGGGTACTGTCCCATTGCTGATTAGCTGCATTCCATTTGGCTTTGTGAGAAGAGTGTTGTAGTTAGGATCATAAGAGTTGCCACAGCATCTCAGACTGTTAGGCCACCTAGTCTGGTATCTGCCTGTGGAAATGGCCATGCTGGATGCACCAGAGGGAAGTGAAGCAGTGTATTTCTATACAGTCAGAACACAGCTTATGCATCAAAGCACATTTGTTCTTAACACACACAAAACTCTTATGAATAACCAATTATTTGCAAACTCACTCCAGAGAATGCAGAGAAACCCCTATTTAAGAGACCACTCAGAGGACTGAAAATAGGGGACACCGAAGGGAGGTTGCTCTCTGAATGAAGGTGGTTAAGGCTTGCTCTTTAAAATCTGAGGTGACTATCATAGGAGATTACTCCGTTTTTACCTATCTGATACCCAGCATTATCCTGTTGGTTATCACAATGTTCAAAATAGAAACATGTCATTTCAAAAATAAATGACTTGAAATACAAATATTTAAACAAATTTTTAATGTCTAAAAGGTCAGCTGTAGCTGGTGGGCACCAGATACAGGTGGAATAACAATGTAATGTTTATTCTATTGAATGGCCATTGGGAGTGGAAGAGACAGCAGCAGAGAGACATGGAATTGGAGTTGGGAGACGTCACCGTAGGATAATAGACTGTTCTATCACATGGGGCCAAACCCACCAGTCCTGACTCAAGCAAAACACCTGTTGAATTCAACGAGCATTTTGCCTGAAGAAGGGACTGCGAGATTTGTCCCATGGTGTTTTGTTTTGGCATTCATCCCTCAGAGATGTGTTCCTGGGTCCTGTTTGTCAGAGCCCAGAGGAAAAAGACAAAAGACAGAGCAATACTAGAGGTGGTATGTCCTCATCTCTCCTTCTCTGCTCAGGTGTTGAAGACAATGGGTACCTGCTGCCAAGGCCAGGAGCACAGCATGAAATGTCCTGCAAGTGCCTAGCAAGCAGGAAGGAAGCAGCACAGGCACTGGGCTATCTTCAGGGAGGGAGCAGCCCGCTGCAGCCAAGCCCAGCTGCTCTAACACCAGACAATGATAAACATGAAGATGACTCTTACCCTCCTCCCCCTCCCCCTTCTCCTTTCCCATTGAGGGACAATGACAAGCCTTCCCCAGATGTAGAATCCCCTCTCTTCAGAGAGGACAGCGCTCTAAGGGCATCCAGTGAACAAGGCCACTGTCTTGATTAACCCTTCATTAGATAATTGCAGTGGGAACTTGACCCTGTAATGTGTGGTGATTGTAAGTGAATGTGCAGGTTAAGGAACAGTTTGATTGAGTTCAGGCACTCTCCTTGGGTGCCTGCTCTTGCCATAGACAGCTGCATCAAGAGACCAAGAAGGAGGGTGAGTGAGGTAACTTGCCTGCTCTAGGGACCTTTGAATGTACAGGACAGCGTGAATGCTCTGTGCTTTGTAATTAAAACCACAGCTTTCCATCCTCCTCCCTGGGTGTCTATCTATCCTGGCTAGTCTCTCCAGAAGAGGGGCCAATTTGTGGGAGGGAAAAGGAGTTCCCCCCACCCAGCTCTGCTTTGCTGCACTTCCCTGCAGCTCCTGTAACCTTATACATATGTGTTCCCAATGAAATAGTTAAACAAAAGAATAAAACCAAACTGAATTCTTTACAGTTCCAGCCTCCAGGGTGGTTCCAGATCATCTAATTTAGTGGATGACTGTCAATAACACGATGAGTGATACAATTAAAAAGTTTATTTAATAGGAAATAGTTAAGCAAACAGGTATTATGCTATAACCTACACTGAACTGATACTTAGTCTAACATGAAATGATATATTTAGGGGTGATCAGTCCCTAAATGAGAAGTGTGGGTATAAAACGTTCTCTAACAGTACCTTGATGGTGCAGCTTGATGGCTGCATGTAATCTAAAGTTAGCCTGCTACCCTTTTTATAATCAATTATAATTATGCCCCTTAATTAACATTAAACCCATCTGTTACCATATCTATATTTCCACAACCATAATTAAATATTTTCTACTTTCTCATTGGCTATTCAACATTAAACATTCTCCTAGTTAACATTTACATAAATGCCATGTCAATAACTATCAATACAGATAAAATATTCATGTTTTGGAAAATGCTATCTAAAACATTTGTAAAAACTAATTAGGACAAAAGCATGTTTACAACATAGATCTGTCCTGACTTATCTTCAACTTGCCTCTGAATTGTCACTTTACTCATATTTTTTTCAGACCTCATGTGACTATTCTTAGGAAATAGATTTTGGGCCTATTTACATTTCAACCCTTTTCTACATAAACATAAGTAAACCCTACCTCTATGGGCTACTCTCCTTATGGCATTTCTGCCCCTGCCAGCCAAGGGCCCAGGTGTAGTTCCGTCAGGTGGCAGGAAGCACCAAGTCAGTAACCTAGTCTTTGTAGATGACTTTGCGGTCAGTATTTATCCTTCAGGGGTGTAAAGGCTCAGAGTTTGTTAGTGTTTCTGTATAGTAAAGATCTCTCCTGAGCTCTTCTCCTAGACCAGCCCCACTGCCCTGGCATAGTGGATGGCATCAACGCTGCCTCTCACTAGTATGCCCAATTTGGCACCAAGCAGCTGGCAGATGCTGAAGGTTAAAGCTCAGCTTCCTATATATACAAGGCCTGGGGTCTCTGCAGTGAAAGACAGACGCTTTGGGGAAAAGAATCTGCTCTGAACACTTTAGGCTCTTGTGACTCCAGAGCAACTAACGCTGGCCAGAGCCTGGCAATAATTCCCCAATGTGGAGAGCCATAGTCCAGATTCAGCAACCAAAACAGATCAGTTCCTGTTTCAATGAATTAGCACCAGAAACCACCCAGGACAGATCTGCTTGTCTGTCTGTTGGAGAAGTGCTGCTTTCATGGTTCATCAGAATTGGCCTTGCTAAGTTAAGAAGGTCACTTCCACTGTCTAGGTGAGCCACCACTGAGGTTCAGCTGCTTTCCATAAGCCCTAGATAAGATGAAGAGGAAGGGATTCCCTCCCCACTCCTGAGACTTGTCTAAAATATGGTCAGGAGTCAGCGGGGATTCGTCTGGTCCCCTGGGAACATTGGCTGGCTTCCTGCTGAGTGGCTTGTAAAATAACCATTTCAACCTCTCTTGCAAGCCTTGTGCTGATTTGACCCAGACTGTCCCCTGCATGGCTGTGCAAAGTGGGGAGGATGCCCTTTGGCTGGCTACAGCTGCAGTTCTTGGGTCGTTAGTCAACCCCAAGAGAACATGGAGGAGGCAAGGCCATGGAGACGAGTTCCTCAGTCAGTGTGCTCCCGTGGCAAGCAAAGGGGCTCCTCTGTCAGGTACCAGAAAACCCTGAGCTGGAGTCCTTTTGGCCTGTGGTTCCTAGGCAGGCCTTGACTTAAACCCCAGTGTTTGTTGTGAATTGGGGCGAGTGAGGTTCCAGTTTCCCCAGAATGTCCTGCGAGGTGGCCATAGCTTTAGAATGAAGAGCTGCCCCTTTTACTCTTCTCTCCTGCCCAGTGAGGATTGCCCCTTCTGTGACCCCTGTTCTGTTCTCCTACACTCGCCTCTGCTCTCAGGTGCAACACTGCCAGCCCCAAGCATCAAAACTCACGAGTCAGATCCCCCAAAACAATAAGAAGAAATGCTGGGTTCTTTGCTTTGCCTTTAGGGGTTTGAATTTGTAGATTGCACTTGGGTCACGGTTTGAAGCTTTTCTCTGCAAATCATGAGGGCTGGAACCTTTTGTTTTTTTTGGCGATGAAAGCTGAAATTCTTACCTAGTCACAGGCCTCCAGATGCTGGGGCTTTAAGAAAACTGCTGAAGAGCAAGAGCTTTGTGATAAAATGATGAGAGTTAGTAACATTGTAGCCCTGTACGAAATCTGCAAAAATCATGCAAGATGGAGAGGCTGCAGGAGGAAATTAACCGGGCATTGGGGCAAAAGCAAAGGGAAAGGGCTACTTTAAGGTCCTTCTATGCTGCTCCAGAAGCAAGAGGCCTGAGAAGCTTGGCCAAGAGTTTCTACTAGAAAAATGGCCCTGGCACTTTTTCTTGAGAGGAAACTTCAAAATGTAACCGCCAGGGAGGTTCATCATTGAGATTCTGTCTCCCTGTTCCCCCAGACACCTTGTCTGGCTAGGCTTTTGCCCGATGCTTCCCCAGCAACTGGCATCCAGATTTCCTAATGCAATTCCATACTTCAGCAGTGGCAGGGTGCCAGCGAGCCAATCTGGCAACACCTGGGTGAGACAGAGGGAGAGCACCTAGCAGAATTCATCTCTGACTTTTTTGGGGGAAATTAAGGAAAGTCCCAGCCCAAAAATGTTGTTACACTGGAGTGAAGGTTGGAAAAATCCTTGAAATAAGGCAATCTGGGGCTGTTAGAAAGGTGATCTGATCTATCACCTCCAGAGAAAGGGAAGTGCCTAGGGGATGTAAAAGGAAGTTTAGTTTGACAGTTTTCTGTTCAGTAAGAACTCACTTATCAATAGACACAGCTGGGAAACCTTTATGTCTTATTGCTTTATAGATGTAGTTGTGAAATCCTCACTTCTGTATTGTTTTGTCATTATAGGTTCCACTTTGCTATTGTTTATTTGCCTGGTCTCTGGTTCTGTGATTGTTTCTGTCTGCTGTATAATTAATTTTGCTGGGTGTAAAATATAGTTGGTTAAATAATCATGTTACAATATGTTACGATTGGTTAGTTAAATTTCAGGAAAATGATTGGTTAAGGTATAGCTAAGCAGAACTCAAGTTTTACTATATAGGTTGCAATCAATCAGGAAGTGGGGGGCGGGGGAAGAATGGGAACAGGGAATGGGGGTGGGGAAATTGGAATAATGTTTTGCTAAGGGAGGGAATGGGAACAGGGACACAGGTAAGGCTCTGTGGTGTCAGAGCTGGGAAGGGGGACACTAAGGAAGAAATCTGGAATCATGCTTGCTGGAAGTTCACCCCAATAAATATCTAATTGTTTGCACCTTTGGACTTCGAGCATACCACACCTATTTCAATTAGTGTTCCAGACTTCCTATTATAGTGGGCCCGAGAAGGTTGGGTCCAAGTTGTCTAGTACACTGCAGGGTGGGGAGGGCTTACTACAGTACTTATAGGTTATCTCCATATGCAACGTAACACAAGTACAGTTAACACAGGATCACAATCTTGTGTGTCCAGTTGCTGGCAGTTGCAACAAGCTGCCCCTGCAGGTTTTGCATGCTTTTGTCCATATCATAAGTCCATTGAATGTTCACAGAGAAATGGGATATTGTCTAAACCAGCTTAACCACTTGGTATGGAATCAGGCAGCATGCCCTGGTTTGTTTATTCACAGTAATAAAATTCACAGATCCATGTGTCCAGATATAAGCATGTAGATGGGTGTACTTTGGTTGTGCCCCCAGTAATATGTACATTCCCAGCAAAACACCTTATACACAGTACACCCAATTGTTCACCCCTTGCATAGGCCATTGATCCTGCTCCTCCATAGTCATAGGAGAGGGGCACATCCAAACATCTTCTGTTGATTTACACTATTTTACACACCCCTCCGTTGTTTCCCAGTGAGCTCCTCCCCTTCTCATTATTTCCATAGGGCTTGTGGGGACCACCTCAGTTGCTATTCCATTTCCAGGTACCACGGTAACTATTACACAGGTGCTGGCCTCCTAGTTGAGCATTTTGCATTCTCATACACATCTCCCCCCCGCAAGGTCAGCCTTTTAAAACCATCTCCCGCCCATGTCATGAGGTTGTTTTGTTCATTAAAACACAACAATGCTAGCAACAAAACAAACACCACAGACAAACAACACAAAACATAGATCCATGGTATTCTGGGTTATTTTTCTGCTGATGCCAGCTTGCTTGTAGAGTGTCTGAAAAACAAAAACAATTTCCACCACCCCCTAGTGGGAAAGATTATTGCTTAATAATAATAATAAATATAATACCACTTCCTTTTACAAATTTCCTTGCTAATTGCAGGAAAAACAGAAGAATTACCTCCAGCTGTCCTTATTTTGTTCTATAGTCAGGCTAGTGAATTACCCCACTCACTGGTCATTTATGAAATTCATGAGGTGGTGTACCTCAGTTTCCCCTCCTGTACAACAAACCAAGTTTGCAATAGTTTCTCTGCTGTACCAACCTTTAAGTTTATTCTCAGGTAATAGCTGAGACAGCTTCAGATTTTAGCACTGTGTGTGTACACACACACACTTCTCCCTACCCCTTAGGGTTAACCTGTTCCCCTTATTTTCAAGCTTGACTTGTTTTTTCACTTCCCTTTCCTGGAGGGCCATAATCTGAGTCTTCTAGTAGCTTGTTTGCTGACCAGATGTATTCATTATTTGCAGCTCCTTTGTGCCCGTCAGCTAGGTAATTTGCATTTACACTGAGGCTTTCTGGCTTGCTTTTGGATCCAAAGCTATTAGCAACTCAGAGATGGTCTTAAAAGGGACAGAATCCACTTCCACTTTCATCTCCTGCTCCAAAACACACAGAGATGTGAAAAAGAAAGCACAACCTATTGTGGCCCCTTTTGGAGCCCTAATAGGATTTTAATTAAGTTCCATGTTTTGTTTGCATGTTTTTTTTTTTACTCCTTCAATATACACTGCACACGTCCTGGGAAAATGTGCATTCCTTCCATAGTTTAACCTCCATAACTTTATATTAGCCATATTCATTTTACACAAGGTGTAACTGCCTCCCCCATGCCCACAGAGTTTTTATTCACACCCACCAAAGCAACAGTCCAATCCCCCAGAGCCACCCCAAGCCTTAGTGTTCCCATCATTCCTCCCCTTTTACCTGTGCACACACAAAATTCTCTTTTGCTTAACATTTCTTGCACTGCGATTACTCTATTTTACACAACTGTACCTGATTACACTCCCATCTTGTACAACTAGACACAACCAGGGGCAGCCAAGTTAAGTTCCAATAGAAACTCCTTTCATTCCTTTAGTGATTTTGATTACATTACCCAAGTCAAATAATTTTGATCAGATTCTCTCTCTGCCGCCTGCAGCAGTCCCTTATAGACCATTTCTGTGGGAAAAGGGCCCATTTCCCCTCAGAATAGCTGTAAAGGCTTCTGGGGACAGAAGCGTAGTGGTGGTAGTAGCCACTCTACCTGACCCCCTTGGATAATTTAATGACCAAGCTTCCGTCCAATGTGACTGCACAGAGTTGCACATACAGTTACAGTTAGATAACTGGGTTTTATCATTAAACTAAACTTCCTTCTTGTAACACCACAACTGTTACTCTTTAACATCTTTACAACAGTTACCTTTTACCATTTCCACAGCTCCCAAATGTTTACTTTCCTCCAAACCCTGTATTATTAATTTCTGCCAAAGGCATTTGTAACTATTCACTCACTCACTTACTCCTACATTCAGTTCTTTAAGGTAGTGCAAATTGTCTGTAACAACTTCGCCACCAAGTACAATTATTGCCACACAGCTGCCTTAACCTGTGCTGTCTTAACCTTGAGACTGTTCAAAAAGGCAGTAAAACATTTGTCCCCATGGATCTTTTACTCCAAAAATTCCAGCGGAATACAGCAGACCTCCATCATGCTTGGTCCAAAATAACCAAAAACATTTCACATATCCAAAGTACCCTCCATTAAAACTTCAGAAAAACAAAAGTGTGGAAAGGCAGGGGGAGAGGAGGGGGAAGAGGTGGAAAGAAACCAATTAAGCTGGTCAGGTCAGTTTAAAGTATAGGCTACCAGCAGCAAATTAAGTAAACTGAGAAAAAGAAGGAGGAAAAGAGGAAAAGGACATAGCTCTGAGCCAAGAGTAGGCTCCCTGGGTTGAAACGGTTGGGAACCCTTAGCCCCAGGTTCTTATTCTGGCTCTGGGAGAAGAGTGGGGGTTGTTACCTACTCCTCCAAACCCTGCCATTTTGCACTTTGAAACCCTTTTTTTTTTCTCCACTCCCCCAGGACCAAGTCCCAGCTCCAGTCTCTAAAGGTGGTCTATTAACTCTGCTTTTGACTTTAAATCCTGTTGTGCCAAATCATCTCTAACCACCCCTAACTAATTTACAAGCCTTCAGCAGCCCTTGCTGAAGCAGCACCAAACTTGAAAGATTACTGGCAGCTTCCCATAATGCTGCCCTCACTTCAAACCTCTCACAACGGGATTGAAGTGCCTCCTTTCCCTGGAAGGCATCCAGTCCCCATGGGCATGCACCTTCTTCCACTACCTATATACCAAGGAGGGTGGGTTCCTCAGCCACACCCCATCCCACTGCGTCCCTTAACACTTCCTCCATTTCCTTTTTAATCTCATCCCAGGTTGACCCCTGCACCTGGTATGGGCCTGGTTCTTCCTGATCCATTTATCCAAAAAAATCCTTTACCCTGGCTTGCCAGAATCCGCAACTACCATCACGAGAGTTCGCTAAACCCCATCCAAGCAGCTTTGCAGACTGCTGGGGAGGGGGACTTACAGGCTGCCACTCACCTATCAGATGTGATATATCCAAGTCACGGCACCAAGATGTTAGGGGGCTTATTCCTTTACCCGCTTACTTCCCTGGTCCTTCTTGCATGAACAGAGAGCAACAATACCCAAAGTCCAAAGGTGCAAACAATTCAATATTTATTGGGGTGAACTTCCAGCAAGCATGATTCCGGATTCCTTCCTTAGTGTCCCCCTTCCCAGCTCTGACACCACAGAGCCTTACCTGTGTCCCTGTTCCCATTTCCCCCCCCTTAGCAAAACACGATTCCAATTTCCCCACCCCCATTCCCATTCTTCCCCCACCCCCCACTTCCTGATTGACTGCAGCCTATATAGTAAAACTTGAGTTCTGCTTAGCTATACCTTAACCAATCATTTTCCTGAAATTTAACTAACCAATCGTAACATATTGTAACATGATTATTTAACCAATTATATTCCACCACCTTAATTAGTTTACACCCAGAAAAATTAATTATACAGCAGACAGAAACAATCACAGAACCAGACAGAGACCAGGCAAATAAACAATAGCAAAGTGAGAACTATAATGACAAAACAATACAGAAGTGAGGATTTCACAACTACATCTATAAAGAGATAAGGGTTTCCCACCTGTGTCTATTGATAAGTGAGTTCTTACTGAACAGAAAACTGTCAAACTAAACTTCCTTTTACATCCCCTAGGCACTTCCCTTTCTCTGGAGGTGATAGATCAGATCACCTTTCTAACAGCCCCAGATTGCCTTCTTTCAATGTGACTAGTTTGGAATGTGAGGAGGTGACCGTTCGCTTCCCAGCTTATGGCTGCCTCTGCTGCTTAGCCAGAGATCTTAGCCTAAGAGCAGGGCCTCAGACTGTCACAGTAAGAGAAGGTCCTTACACCGGCAGACAGTGATTCTGATTCTTTCTTTTATACCTCTAGAACTAACTAAGTGATAAGAATACACCTAAATTCTTAGAGTGTAGGCCTTTACAGACAGGCCTGATTATCTATATCCTAACAAGGAGAACATTCTCCAAAATCTTTAAAGAACCCCCACATTAGAAAGTAGGGAAATAAGGAGGTCTGCAAACTGCCCCCTGAAGAGTCAAAAAGGTAGGGATAGGGAGCAAAGAGAGTGAGAAGTGTCAGAACATGATAAAAACTAATACTCTGATTAATTAAAGCTCTGTGCTCTGACAGCAGTTAATTGAATTCAGTGGGACCTAAACACGTGTTTAATTGCTTTCCTGAATTGAGACCTAAACTGGGTGCCCTCACCTATGATTTTCACCATATCTGGGTTGCACTGGGAGGAGGGAGGGGTTTATTTTAATTTAGTTGAACACCGAGCCCAGACCTCACAGCGCAGCAAATTAAGGAACCTAAAGGAATAATCTCACCAAAAACTCAA